AATTTTATAGATTGCTTTTGCTATGTCTGTCTCTGCTTCCTCTTTCATCCTGGATGATTTCAGCAGAGACCAAAAGTAGTCCGAGTTACCTTGCTTTAAATATAAGTAGACCCTGAATTTCACCAAAGTGTTGTGATATTATCTGTGTCCTTCAGTAACACATCAAATGTGAACCTAGTGATAGAGGAAGAAGAATTCCAGCAGAAGCAAACCTTTGGATGCCTTCCCAAGGAAGAAGGAAAGCAAGCATCCTAGTCAATGTCCTTAAAAAAGTTTGCATGATCTGTGAATTTCCACCTGGAACCACCCCAGAGCTCAAGCCTGCCGAAAAACAATTTTGAAATCTGTTCCAGAAATTTCCATCAGTCATAAAAGCAGAACCCTTGTGAGATCAAGGACAATGGCAAAAGATAAAATTGGCAGACAGCAGAAAAACACTGAAGGTCAAACTCAGTATGAGGATCAAGCACTTATTAGCTTATCATCACTTGAGTACAAGAGACCCACTGATTTATAATCCTAAGGGTAACACACATTTAAGACACTGGCTTTTCTCCACTAGACCTGGTCCTTAAATGGTGTAAAGGTGTCCATTCTTATCAACAGAGATCCCAGGGGGATTTTTCTGCGATGAAAGATGGCTAAGAATTCCACGCAGCTACCCAAAATCTGACCACACTTAATCAGGGTCAACATACAGCAGAAGCAAACATGAGGACATTTATCAACGATTGTGTGTCAAGCTCCTTACAACCTGATAGGCATCCTTTGACAGAAAGCCATAATTTTTCGCTCTTTTTTTATGGTGAGAGGAATTATAACAAATGATATCTATTCAGAGGTTATGTCTCATATTTGTGAAGTGCTAAGATTGTTTGTACATGTGTGCTCCTCAGATTAAGTTGATTTAAAAAAAAAACTTACTGTTGTATGTACATGCATACACCCCTCCTTATGTTGCACATTTGTTTGTGAATAGTGCCTTTTAAAAAAAAACCCTAGCTTCTCTGAAATGCATGCACAATTTCTAAAAGATGCCATGGCCACATGATAAATAGTGGCTAAATTATGAATTAGCAGAATGGCAGTAATAAATAGATCAAAGACCTCCCTATGCTAATATCCATATGAGTAATAAACCATGGTATTTCCTATCCTGTAATACATGCCATGGTTCTGATCCATAGGGTCTCACATTTTTTGCCTGCACACAGGCACGCACAGGCTCAGAGAGCAATGTGAAAGTCACGAGTCTCTAGTGTAATTCATGCTCCAGATCAGCAGCTGTGGGGGGTTTGCTAAAGACAACGTGGCCAAGAAATTCCTGAGAGAATAAGAATGGTTGTTAACAGTTCTGAGAAAGTCTTCCTCCGGGTTATTATCCCATAGAGAGAGATAGTGCGGTTTGGCGGTCTTAACCAAACAAACAGCTCTGAGAAACTACACATATCCCCTCTGAGATTACAGCAAATGAAAAACAAAAAACCATCTTCTCTTAAAAGTGGTTTGAAGCATTCGTGATACTGTCAGTGAAGTACTTGGACTTCTTCCTGCTTTGTGCAGCAGGTCACAGTTTCCATACTCCCAAAGGAAACAGCATTGGCTGAGCAAGAGAAAGTCCCATTTACTCTTACTGCTGCCTTTTCAAAGCTGGCCTTTTTGAACAGGGATGAGGCACAAGCACACGTAATGACTGACAGCCACTAAAGAACAATGCAGTAGCAATACAAAATGGGCACTCCTGTTTAAATTACTTACACCGGGGACACTGCTCACACACATCAAAGTAACTGAAAGAGAAATTGCCTGAAAAATGTATTTTCTTGTAGCATTTTCCAACCCCTTGAGCTAGCTGGCAAATGAAAGATGGGATACAGTTCTAGGGCATGAAAGTCAGAAATACAGTAAAAACTACCTGGCTAATGGCTTAAGATAATTTTAAGATTTCAGAAGTGACAGGCTCTTTTCTCCTGACACTACGTACTTACATTGCCTAAAGCAACACAGGTTAAACTCTCAAGCAACACTTTCTTAACATACCTGGAATATTGAGCAGGAACTATTTCCTCAACTGCCTCTCATGCATTTTAAGCTGTATCCAAGCTGTATCAAGTTAACAGGGTAGATGGGGAGAAGAGATGGGGAGAAGAAACATAGTTCTGTGAATAAGAAGCAAGGCTACAACTCAACTGCTGGTACTCCCACAGATTTCCCAGCTCAGTCTTCTGTGCTCCTTCTGTCTCTGAAAAAATAACACCAGTAGAAATATTTCTGATATCTAACCTCTAAGTTTTGTTATGTTTCTTAGTGTGCTGAGACAGTGTTTTGGACAGTCAGGCACTGAAGTTCTTTACTGGTGCATTACTGTGGCTCTCTGTTTGCTGGTACAAAACATCCAAGCAGCCCTTGGGAGAACATTGGATAGCACCTCTTATCTCTCTGATGCATTGTCATGCGGTCCAGATGGCTGCAGTATGTAGGCAACTGGGAACCAAAGCAGCAGGAGAAGTACATCATGCTGCAATTTCCTTCTGGTGCTGATCTTGATGCATTCAGCATTTAGATTACTTTGTAGCTAGGAAGCCTATAGGCCTGGGTAGATGCATGCTAAGACCTAGCAAAAAAATACACTGTAGGAACTGTGGTAGCTTGCCAGCTCTCAAATGACCAGATTTGCCCCCAGAAAACTCTGTAAAAGATTACTGCAGCTCAGCCAAGGGAAAATTCCCTCCTGTGCAGAGTGAATTACAAGTTCCACAAGGGTGGCAATCTCTTCCAAGTGGGTCTGTTACTGAAGAAAAACTCAGAAGTCTGTGTACTTTAGCAGATTAACTATTACTATGATGTACAAACCCAGAGACAAATAGGAAAATAGACTTCTTCCATTTGGCAAATGCAATTTTATTTCTGGATTAGCTGTAAGAGTCCAACATCTTAAATATTCTAACATATATACCCTGCCACACACATTAATTGGAATACTGGAAGAATACTGTAAATAAAGTCAACATAAGTAAGCATCTGCATATAAGTACAGACTTCTCATGAATTTAATTGTTATTTTTATATGCTGGAGGAGGGCTCCAAACCTTGGAAAGGGAAGACTTCAGTGGGAAAATGATATGACAATGAACTGTCTCTCAGTAGAACAGGTGAGAAAAATCTAAACACAACATGAAAAACAGAGCACAAACTGGCAGGTACAAGAAAGGAAAAAGACCATGACATTTTTTATGAGGTGTCTCTATAATATATTTACTAAATCTACAACTATAATAATACTTGAAACCAAGCACTAGCAAAACATCAATTTTATGGTCTTGAGCAATTTACTCAAATCTGAGGCACAGAGTCACCAAGAGCAGAAAGTTACACTTGGTGGCTTCCTGCACAGTTTAGTCATATATATAGGCTCACTGAGAACAAAGGTACAAAACAGCAGACTGTGAATCACACCCAAATTTCCCACCCGTGACTATATGAGGGAGGAATTTTTGCTAACAATACAAATACTTGGGAGTATGGATGTGACTGCACATATTGATTTTATCTGAGCTACTTGCTAGTTATTTACTCTGCTGGTGCAGAAGGTCCTCCATACTGTATGAGCAACACAATCAAAATTATTTGATTATAATGCTTGCATTCCTAGTATTCCAGTTCTTTACCAGCAGGGTTTTTATGGTAAAAAAAATCCTCACAACTGAGACACGAAAATGGACATTAAGAGAGCTACAAGAATATGAGAACAAAATCTACCTGTGAACTTTCCCATTTTCCCATGAAAATCACTATCTAGGAAGTAAAAATATAATTCTTTTCACACCCAAACTGGCCTGTGAATGTGTATTCACAAGAGTTGCATGTGGGAACAGACATCTGTGTTCTATCTTCATTTGTCATTTTCAAATCTATTTCCAGGAAAACTGAAAGATGATTTGCAAAATTTGGCCCCTCAAAATAGCAAAAAGAGATTGAGCGCTCACAGTCTGAACTATGCTGGTCAGCAGTTCTTTTAAATCATCATGCAAAGCAAGTTTTGCTGTATGTCTATAGGATGATAATAAATTATTCAAGTTATCTGAAGAATCTGACGTCTCTAGTTCAATTTACAGGTCAGTCAATAAAGATACATTTCACATGGTTAGTGATTTCCTATTAATTTACTGAGCAGAGGGTTTCTCCTGAGAAGAGATTCCATTTCAAGGTTTGTAGTCTTCCTTAAAAAAATGTCCTGTGGGGGGAAAAATAAGATAGTGAGAAACATGCTGTTAGCTCTCATGCAGCTTTTAATCTTTCTAGTAAGCACAGTTTTTAAACTGGATCTTAAGTAGTTTTGATTTGCATTACAAGTAATGATTGAGAAGACCCACATGCAGCAAGAAATCTTACCTTGGTAGTTCTAGAGATCTGTGACTGTACTTACAGTGATTATAGCCACAGAGAAACCATACAGAGTAAACTGAATTTCAGAGACAAGGATAATTTCAGAACAAACCCATTGTAAAGGTATATGACAAAACTACAGAGACAAACTTCACTGAAACCAAACACTCTTGAATACTTGTTTACAGGCACACTGTGAATAATCCAAATGGAAACTTGTTCTTTGGACAAGCCTTCACAAGAAAATAATTTATTGTTGCTTATATACTGATGAACTCACAAAGCCACAGCAGTGGTCCACAGATAAGGAACAAAACCTTAGGTTAATCCTACTTGCTTAGAAAGGGCCTATTTATTTAATAGTCTGGCAGGTGATAAACCAATTCTGCAGAGGATCTCTGAGGGACTTCATGAAGTAGAAACTAAATACTTATATTTTAATAGCACAGGCATGGCAAAAGCCCAAAGAACACTCCAGCTCCAGCATGCCAGGAACAAAAGCAAGGATGGCAAGCAATGCACAGGCAGGCACATGCTGAAAAAATAACACAGCCTCACAATGGCCAGTCATGTTAAGCCAGGTGTGCTATTCACCATGAGGGACACTGCAGTGGCTACAGCTGCAGGAGATACCCTTGTCTGTACACAGGTGCACTGCCTTCAAAAACCTTTCTGTGTGTGCTGGGACTGACTGCTGATGAGGGAATGGTAGGGCTAAATATACAAAATACAAAAACAAAAATAATAATTAATTCCTTGCCCATTAGTTTATGCACAGGTATTAGGTATTAAACAAAATTTCACATCAATCTACAGTTGCTGTTAGGCAGTAAAACTGATTTAGAAACACTAATATTCCAGTACTCCGCATAGAGGAAGAGCCCAGATTAACAGTGACTACAAAACCTTGCTCTGCCATCTTACTTGGTAGTAAGGATATCTTCAAATCTCCCTCAATGAAAGTAGAAAACATGGGTCTTGCTTTTGAAACTGTCCAAAGTAAAGCAAGCTGTATAGCCCTGATACCTCTAACACACTTGTAGCTGTAGATTCTTCTGTTTCACACCTGTGCTGATTATCTTTAAAACAAGGATCCTGTGAGCATTGCTAAGACACCCAAACCCCTTAATCTCTTTTGAAAATATTATGTACACTTGCTTAGACAAGAACAATAACTGCAATCTAATAAAAAAAAACAAAACAAAAACAACAAAACCTAACCATACAATAGAATTAAATGTCTGGTTGTGATGCAGAATTGTTTACAGGGATTTGTTTCCCTAAATTATGATCTATGGGAATATAGTAAATGACTCAGACTGAAATTAAGTGTAACTTCTAAAAAAAAAAAACAAACCCCAAATCCTCAAACTTTAAACTGAAAGTATGAGTGTGTAGTCACGTACAACCAATTCTGAGAATCACAATTTTGCAGTCTGGGAACCACTGCTGTAATACACGACAGCTACTTATGACTATCAAATTAGCAACCATGTAATGCAGGAGGTTATATAGTCCATTAGAAGAAGATATATTGAAAAATGTGTGACAAAAAAGCAAACTGGCTATTGTTACTCAGCTTTTAATCCCCAGAGAAAAATTATGCACTTACATTTCATCATCATATTCTTTTGGAGGTGATGCTGCAATGACTAAGTCAATCCAATCCTGAAAAAGAAAAGCAGAGGCAAACATCTGCTGCTAAATATTGCTTTTAGAGGTGGCCAGTGCACCACCATGGAATGTCAGATAGAGAATCTAGGAGGTAATCTATTCCTGGAAAACCACAGGGAGAAGAAGTAAGGTGTGTATTAAAAACTGATATAGGAAGACCATTTAAAGATTGAGCTGTTTGATTTGTATCTTGAAATTAAAGAAAAATCTACTGTTGCAACAACATTTTTAAAAAAAGTTATTCTAACAATCATCCTGTATTGGTCCTCTGAGCAATGAGAAGAGTTCTTGCTGTGGAAACACTCACTGTAGCTGAAGGGCAATGTTGCTTGTACATCAAGAAAGCAAAGATAAGCTATTATCAGAAAATTCCAATCAACTTGCAAGTAATTTTCAATATCAAAGAGTGATTTTACATGTAAAGGTACTAGAAACACTCAGAATGTAGTGTGTTTAAATGCCAATCTTGACATGTGGCTAAACACCATCAAATTTCCCAGTAAACTACACACATGGTTTTCAGAGATGCTACATACCAGAATCTTCTGCAGATTTTAGCTTACTTTGGGAGTACCTCATGTACCCACTACTTTTCATGTTCATAACCTTGTTTGTATTGCTGTGGCAATGTCATGATAGAGAAGTAGCTCTGATATGAGCTCTGTAGGTAGAATGAAGTAGTATTCCAGGTTACTCACCCCACCCATGTTCCAAGCTTTTGCTAGAGTTGCCTGTGCTTCTGCCAGCTTGCTGTCAATTAATATCTTGCCATTTACAGCCAGTATTTCATCCCCTTTCACTATGCCTCCTGGGGAAAAGACAAATGTGTCAAATACAAATGTGTCAAATACACATATGCAAAAAAAAAAATTCTAGGGGCCTTTTCTGTGCAGTACTGACTGTGATGAAAAGTGTTCTCACTGGATGCAAAGTCTGCACTAAAAATTGTAGGAAGTTTGCTAGAGGCAAACACAAAAGGAATTTTTAAGCATGCCAAAGCCAAACTAATCTCTTATTGATAATGACCAGTAAGAAACTAGTTCAATATGATTTTCTAGTTTTCCTGTTTGGGTAATCCAGCTATACAGCTTACAAACTGTGACTGACTGCAGAACGTTACTACTATGCTCCAACCCTGGGGAAATGTTCAAGGCCAGGTTGGATGGGGCTTTTGAGCAACCTGGTCTAGAGTAAGGTGTCCCAGCCCACAGCAGGGGCTTGGAATTAGATCATCTGTAAGGTCTCTTCCAACCCAAAAAATTCCATGAGTCCATAAAAATGGCAAAATTAATTAAATTCCTGAAGGAATAAAATGGCATTTGTCAAGGGTTTGCATGATGGTCATTTCTTTGCAAGTCTATGTGTAGTATTTGTTCCTTAGAACTGATTTTGACTTGCCAATCTGGAATGAAGCACAACCAGTTAACTAGAACTGGATTTGAAGAGGGTGATAAGAGGACAGCCTTAATTATGGGAGATCCTAAAAAGAGTGAAGGGCCAAAAAGCGCACTGAGGACATCAAATGACTGAAATGTTTTCACAGCAATGTTTTCACTTGAACTTAGGTGCAGGCTGGGACAAGGACAGCAAAGACAGTGTAAGGGAATACTGCCCTCTCTGGTGACCTGGTGATCACAAGAGCTCTCAAAAAAAGGATGGCAGATACTTCCCACCAGGTGCAAAGCCCAGATGTGTTGGCAAGCATGTTCTTGTGCCTTCAAGAGCTAGGCTTCAGAGGCTCTGGCTGTTAGTTGGGTTTTGGGAGTACAGCCAGCTGCTTAACTAGACAAATTACTATTTATAGTAGCATAAAGAATAAAACTAAGCAGCGCAGTGTAGCTATGGTCAGGTAATTGCTTTGCATGTAGAAGCATTAGAAATGTCATTGGAAGTTGTGAAATAATGGAAAACACATTCCTTGACTAAAGAATACAACAGAGAATCAGGTGTTGGTTTTTACAAATTTTACATAACTATTAATTTTAGCAACACATGAGGGCTGCCCTTAAAATTGAGACAGAACTTGGGTCCTTGGGCAAACTAAGTGAGCCTTTCAGTACCAAGCAATGAAATCAGCCAACCATTCTCAGCCAGTGTAAGGGAACACTTTTCAGCAGCATTCAAACTCCTCGTTGTTGCTCACCATGTTTGTCTGCTGCACCGTCCTCGTAGATGGCAGACACAACTATCTTTCCAATTGGAGAATCAATTCCGCCCTCAACTGCAAGGTCCAGTGATCCCTCCTATGAAAAAAAACAGTTCTAGTTCAGAAAAGTCTGTTAATTTCTGCCATTAACAGGGGCTTAATCTTTCCTTCTTCTCAGTAAATGATGCTGTACATCAAATGCTTACATGAACCTGTTGAATATCAATCAAACACCATAGAATTACCTTTTTTATTCGTAATAGCCGTACGTCTTTTCCTATAATCTGGTCTGGGGTAAACTGTGAAAAGATACAACAATTAATCATTTCTACTCTGAAAACACAAAACAATTAAGCTGATCTATGTAATTTCTGGAGGAAAAGGGGCCTTTCTCCCCTCTAAAATAGTGTTAGAGGAAGATCAGAACACCACATCACCTTTTCCTGTAAGAACACTCCTGTTCAACATGACCAGAAAAGACAAATACACAAGATCCAGAAAAGCAACAAGCAAGAATCTTACCTACTCCCAGCCCTCAAAATCAAGGATTTGGCTTTTTTCAAGAGTATTTCATATTAAACAATGAGGCATGCTTAAATTCTCTCCTTACCATTGAATATGGATCAAAATCTTCTACGTACTTCTGGAAGCCCTAAGAATAAAACGATATTTAATTGCAAAACCAGCAACTCACTCACACACTTAACACACAAATTCCATCTTATTCATTAGTGAGAGAACATGTAATTCTGTAAGCTATGAAAGAAGACAGAAACTGGAGAAAAGCCCGAAAAGACAGCAAAGAGTCCATCCTGACAGTCAGAAGACATTTCAAAACCTCATGACAGATCAATAATTTGAGTTGATCATATAATGGAGCATTTCTGAGGAAGAGTTTACCACCTGTCAGCCCCACAGTTCCTCTCTACACCTGAAACAAATCTTGAAAGCACCATAAGCAGATATGTTCTGCCACACTGTTTGGAGCAACACTTCTTGGGATTATCAACGTGTTGGATGGTAACAGGTGAAAATGACAAGCTCCAATTCACCTGTCAGCAACACTACTCCATATTGTCTGGATTTTAGGATTCTTTTTCAGCCCCCTTCTCTCCCTCTGGATGTGGAGTTTCAGGGAGTTGGCTCCATACCACAAGCAAGGGCAGGACAGCAATTTGTTAGACGATTTGCAGGACAACAATATTTTTGTTCTCATATGGTTCTGTGGAGGACTTAAATGTTTTGTCAGGAAATGTCTGAAATGCAGAAGATGATACTGCAGTTAGGCACAGCAAGATTTTTGAACTTTGAGGGGACTCAAAGGTAACTCCTGCTTAACCCTTGTCAGACCAAGACTGCAGGGAAAAGCAGGAGTTACTTTTTCTGCAAGGATGGGAGTTCCTGCACCAGCAATCAGGAGTCAATGGTGTTGGAACACAGTTTCTTGAGAAAAATTAGTAGCTACTGGGTGAGACTGTATGGCTAGTGCTGGGGATTTATGAAAGCTCTGCACTTAACCCTGCATGCTAAAGTAAGGACTTCAGAACTTAAGAAAATCTTTACTGAGGCACCCAGCTCCCACTCTTGTGGGAGCTGCAATAACCTGGTGACAGGGGAACACAGAAGCACTCAACCCTTTGCAGACATGGCAGGCAAGCCAATACCTTACATAGACCAGGGGTTCAGTGCATGATCAATCTTGATATATTCATTATTGCCTCTTTTCTTCTGGTTCCATTTGACAGCAAAGACTATTCCTCTGCCAGACTCACCTAAGCCTTTTTCCACTTGTAAACCAAACACACAGCTTAAGATTCCTGTGGTGTATTTAAGGGCTGGCAGTTAAATGGCAAAGTTGCAGCAGAAAATACTAAAATACTAATGCCTGCTCTGCTATACTCTTTATCACCTCTTTTGATTGCCTAGATTTGATGTGACTGTGAACCTTGTTGGTTCTGATTCCACCCATAACAGTATACTGCCTTACATTAAGTTTGTTACACTGCATTACATTTGTTAACCAGATAAATGGGAATTTCATCACAGACATCAGCAAGGGCAGAATTTCATCCTGGGGGAAAAACTCCAATCAACCATTCATTAATTTACAAATTTTACTAATATAATGAACTATTTAACTAAAACTGTAAGAGAAATATTTTATAATTAAAGCTACCCAAAGAATTAATACTTTGAATAACTGAATTAGTATTGCCTTTTGGAATCATGGCTAAAGTAGATATCTATGGGTTTGGAGCAAGTAATTTAGAGAAAAGAACTCCAATTTCAGCCAAGTCACTAAGTCATTATGTAATCTAAAGGAAGTCAGTGAACTCTTTGTCCCAGGTTGTCCTCATGAAAAACAGATGTTGCCCTTGAAAGAAGTTTCCCTGGGAAAATAATCTTTAAACAGGAAAAAACCCAAAAAACTCCACAGAAACAAATACACAAAATAAAATTTTAAAAATCACTAAAAAACCAATCTGCTAGCAAAAGTCATAAAAACACAGAATATCCTGAGTTGGAAGGAGCCCACAAGGATCACCAAGTCCAGCTCCTGGCCCTGAACAGAGTGACACCATGCACCTGAGGGCACTGTCCAAACACTTCTTGAGCTGTCAGGCTGGTGCCTCTGGGAGTCTCTTCCAGTGCCCAACCACCCTGTGGGTGAAAAACCATTTCCTAATATTCAACCTAAACTGTTCTCCCCTTGGGTTCATGTCACTATGTATCAGAGATATGATCTGGATCCAAAGATGCACAAATATTGCTAAGACAGAAAGAAGACATGCACTGAACCATAATAAATATTCCCTGAAATGGACACCACAAATTCAGAGATCAGAGAGTGCACTCCATATCCAAGCAGGGAAGAATGAACCAAGGAACACCAAGTGGAAAGCACAGTCCTAAGCCTACCCTCCCACCACTCAGGAAGTTTCAGGTGAAAGAGTTAGGAACAATCAAATCGCTTCTTGACTTACAAAAACATTCAGAGGACTGAGCATAAGTTGAAAATGGAACACTAAAATATTTGATTGCACTGAAACAACTCTCTGTCTGGACTTCCAGGTGAAACCCAAGTTGCTATTTAAAGAAAAAACAACCTCCGAAACACCAGCACTTATACTAATGATACTGCTTCACTGGTTTTGAACAACAATGGTCAAGAGCAATTGAGACCAGAAATAACAACAACAAACCACAAACAAACAAACAAACCCCAAGCAACAACAACAACACATAATTGAAAGAGAAACTCATGACTAGAAATGACAAACTTTTCAAAAAACCACCTCTTTTGAGAACACTTGTTATATATTTAGAACATACTGGCATTTACTGGCAAATAAATAATCTCAAAGCTGGATCTCTTTTAGTCAGTTATCCCTTCTAGACACAGATTGAAACTGATTAAAAGAAGAAAAAAATTATTATTAATCTTAATGTTTTACTGGTCAAAATCTCACACTGTGAACTCACTACTGCATGCCAACTTTTCGTATAATGTCAATGCATGTAACTTAGCTTGCATTACCAAAGGGTTTTGTACAGAAACTGGGACATCTTAGAGCAGTGGAGAAGTTTAGCCTAAAGTTCATTTCTTCAAGGAGCCATCTATTGAACCACCAGCCAACCAAAGATGAAGAGATGAAAACTTATCATTATGACAGAGGAAAGCAACAAAAGTAAAACTGCAGCAGGAAAATCCTACACTATACAGAAAGGCTGAATGAACAAGGCTTTCCACCACCAGTTCCTCTAATTTCCTACCAGTAATTATGTTATGATGATAGCTCTATTTGTTAATCTGATAAAGTATTTTACCACTGAAAGCATTGCAGCTGGACACTAAAAGAAACAAGGAAATCTTAGGAATGTCAGTATCAGATGAGTTATCAGTATTCAACTATCTTAAAGGTGGCACTTAACCATATAGGAAGTTACAGATGGTTCATCCTGAAGGATTTATTCTCATTCTTCTTCTGCCTAGCCTAGCTGGAGCCACAGGCACACACTTAAAGCTTACAAAGACCAGCAGTTCTCATGCACTAGGGCTGTCTTGCATCTTCTGTTTTAGAAACTGAGCAACAGAATTAGAAAGGAAAGTTTTAAATCTATGATCAGTCAAACAAGAAGTACCACACAAAACACGGAAAACGTTATTTTACTTGTTTTTTGTTAGATCTAAATGATGAATTGTAAACCACCATCCTTTTAAACATCTCTTGTGGCTGCAAAAGAAAGAAAATCGCCAAACCAGGTTTTAACTTTTTGCTGTAATTAAGTATCACCTACTTATAAATTATCTTAGTGCTTATTTTGCTCTCCTAGGGACTGAATCACACTTGGACTTGTTAGTGCTTGTTTCCTGTATAATTTCAAAATGAGAGAACACACAGAGTGAAATAGTACTGAATGCAAAGTGGAAAGAATTCTAGAGAAACTACATAAATAATGCACATTTCCAAACCACAAGATTTCTTAAAAATATCTTCCATGAGTGCTTTTAAAATTCATTTCTACAAAACAGTGCTTGGGTCTCCAATCCATGATATATGAAAAAAGAAAATTTAAAAAACCCCACCCCTAAACATGGACAAAATGGTAGACAATTTCCAAAATATTGAGAAGTCATGGTAAAAATATGTTTATGCATTTAAGGCTTGCTTTCCTAGGATAAGGTTTGCTTACCAAGGATTTCCTATACTGAAGAGGTGAATTCTATTATTAAATGGATCTTATTTTATTGTGTTTGGCTTCAAGGTCTTAAATTCCATATTCATTTTGTTTTTCTGTCACTTCCACTATTCTAACAAAATGATATGCAGTAGTTTGGAATCACTTAAAATACAGACTATCTCCTTAGTCTACAAAAATTTTCAAAAATGAAATGGGCTAACTCCCATATTATTGTACAAAAACTACTGACAGTCCCCCTTCCTCCACTCAAAACCTTGCAGCAAATCAGGTAACATATCTGAGTCTTCTGAAACAAGAAAAACTTTCTACAGACTGAACTCTGGCATCTACCTTTACAAACTCAATTTGCTTTGAAAGCAATTACTATGTATCAGTTTTACTAATGTTCCTCTCAGCGTCCTACAGTCCTACCATTACTTGGAAAAAATATATTCCAGAGTTAATAAAATGTAATTTATGTTTAATTAATACAAACTGTAAGTTTTTGTCTTGGAGGACTTATGGGCAAGTTTGGAAAGATTTTCCACAAATCTCTTTAAAATCTCTCTAAAAAAAAAATCAACACAGATTGTTTTGGTATGGCTATAACCAATACTAACTGAAGTTTCCAATCCTCCCCAATCTTGCCACATGGTATCTAAGCCTTGACTTTCAAGTCTTGACTTCAGTCCTGCAGAACCAGGCTTCAAATCTTGCAAATTGGAGGAAAGCTTAATTTTTTCTTCCTTTCAGAAATTCTTCCTCCAGTTGTAAACAAAAAAGGGAGGAAAAATCTTTTACAGCAGCAAGTGCAGCAGGACCTTGTAACTCACACAACAGGATGTTTTTGATAGATGGGAGAGCAGAGACTTATGCTCCTGGTGGTTTTGCATCTATGACAATCTCACCACTAAATCATAACAGTCCCCTCCTGTTCTCTGAGCCAAAATTTAATTGGCTTTGCTGGGAGTGTATTCCAGTTCACTCTAGTACAGCTCACCCTGATTTTCACTCAGAGCAGCCCTCAGCGTTCAAGGCCATACTGAAGGTTTAAACATCTCCCATCATTTCCCTATTTATAAGTGAAAACAATTTCATATTCATCAACTGTTACAAGACCTGGTAATTCTGACCTGAATTTAATCAATAACATTACGTAAGTCACAACAGAGACTATGTGGCCCAACTACCTTCCAGGTAACAGGAGAATTTTACCCATTCTTGCATGCCTATTTTATTCTTAAATACATGCTTTTTCATCTTTACTAGTTAATTGCTTGAATATAGGCCAACTAGATTAGTTTCTTGAATCAAATAAATCCATCAACCTCATTTTCTTGAACTTGCTACTCAGGAAAGTGAAATTCAGGTAAAAACAAGGTAGAAAAAGTGGTGTGCATTATGTCAAATTAAGACACAAAAGCTGGAGTTCCATAAGGTGTGCGAAATCTAGGAAGATGAGAAACCAGACAGCAAATGGTGTGTTGTTGTTGTCTTCTTATCACAGGGGTTCCATACTGTTGTTTCCTTATCACAAAGGTTTCACACCTTCTTGGTGTTTCTCTGGGCAGCTCCTCAGAGCACTGACTTTCTTCTTCACAAAGCAGCCACTGACTCCAGTTCCCCTCTCACCCAGCCACCCACTCTCTTATAGCATCTTCTTCTCACTGGTTACAGCTGTGGCCTGTTAAAGTCAGGCCTGTTCCTAAGCTTTGATAATTGGCCCAGCTGCAACTCTTTAGGGTAAGATTACTTTCTACACTATCTTTATTTTTCTTATATTCTATCCCCCCACATATTGTCTTTGGTGATACTCTCCTCCACTAAGAGAAGTGGAACTGGTCCTGTATGTGAACAATGAACTTCAACACACAGGCACAAACCCACACATAGCAACCAATCAAACCCCACTCCCCTTTTGCATGAAATCTAATTATAATTCTTAAACACTTCTGGAGACAGGCAGGCACTGTCTTGTTTGGTTTGTCATACACTGGCCTTTTATTTTTTTAACTAATAGGAATAATCTTCCTCTTCAGTATCCATGCTGGTTTTATTTCACATGCCACTTATGACTTCCTTGCAGTGAGGGTGAATAAATACCCTTTACTGCAGTAAAGTCATCAATGGAAGTAAGAGGTATAAGGTCTACCAAACCAATTTATAGACTGATCTTTCTCTCAAAGTCCCACCAGAATATTGCTCCCACGGAAATTTTGATCTTCCAACTAATATAAGGCAGTTTGGGAAGGAAGATGATTGAATCTGAAAGATTTTAGCAGACTTGTGATTTGGAAAATGTGCATGCATGCGTAAGAAATCATAAGACATTTCCCATGGAGGTGGATCTTGTTGCCAGTTTGTTAAACTAATTGTATATAGTCAGTATAAAAAAAGTGCCTTTTAAAATTTGTACCAAGACTTTTGGATCACACATAAAGGTATTATCTATTTTGCAAACTAGTTCACATATATACACTTTTTCAAAAGCTAGATGATATTAACTGCAGATTATGACTTTGTTCATTCCTCTCCTAAGGGATTTCATATTGCTCAGAGATGTCAAATTACTGAACACAATCAAAATGAGAGCTCCAGCTGAAGGAAACATCTCCACTGGAGAGATCTGAATTTATTTTTAGCTCACGTGCCTGCCTTCTCTTAAGCAACTTATTAAAACTGCTTCCAATTACCATTCAATTCATTTATAATGTAGAAGCTTCAAGATGACTCTGGCTGGGTGAAAAGTGGTTACTAAGTATCACTTAAACTTCTTCAAAGTGTAACCGGGGAAAATAAGGAAACAAGACTATCTAAATTATTAAAGCGAAAAATGACAAAGAAATCCATCATGTTTTAATGAAACACAGCTAGGAATATTGTGCACATAATTTACTGCCAGAAATAGCTTTTAATTAAAAAAATATAACACAAATTTAATAGGTTTTCTGTCGCCTACTGTCTTACAAATACAGATAGACATGTATCCACACACATGCATGCAACAAACACAGAACTCTGACACAAATAGCTTAAGTCATAATGATCCTCAAGAATAAACACTAACAACTAGTTCACCAGCTATTTTAGGTGAATTTCAAGGACTGTCAGCTGGGAGTTATCACCTGTCTAAGCAATACTTCTTTTTTTGCTCAGTAAGCCTTGGCTCACTTCCCTCATCAACTACAATTCCCAAGGATGCTTCATGGTTGGTACTAAAATGTTCAGCCTCTGACTTTCCCCTTCACTTGCATTTGAAACAGAAATGGAAAAGAAATAAGAAAAAGAAGCTGAGTGCAACTGAATTTTGCAGTAACTCTGCATGACTACTATATTAGAGTCTAATATAATTACACACTTTTTTCCCCCTGGAAACTAAAAGATACATTTAAATTGTATGTATATATATATATATATAGGATAAATTATATCATAAGGCATATATCTTTAAGTATGTTCATGGGTTTTTAAAAGGAAAAAGGCAATTGACTTAATTTTTATTTCATTTCTGATTAATTCAGAATTTATAAAAATAAAACCTAGCATCTGAATAAATAAGAAATAAGATGTACAAATTCTAGGGCTTTACACTGCTCTGTACAAAAATTGTCTCTAAAAGTAGCTTTTCCACCTTGGAAAAAAAATGGAAAAATACTGTTTTCGTACTTACCATTAGTGAATGCTTGAAAATATACAGGAATTTTAGTTAGCAGGAAGTGAGACAAAGATTGATTCTTTGAGGACATCTCAAAGAACAATATCAAAACCAAACTCCCACAGTACTGAAGCACTCAGAAAAAGGATATTAAAAGGCTTACCAGGGCCTCTGATTTGATTGTTGGCCTGACCACGAAGTTTGGGTCAGGATGCAGCATAACTGGTTTAGAGACTATTGGCACCCCTGGATGACGCTGGGTAGGTGGACTTGGAGCAAGTTGCTATGGAGTTAATTTAAGAAATTTACAGTTTACAAGCTAATTTGTGCAAATCCATCATTTCACCAAGACTCTTCTATTCAAGTGGTTTATCATAATGAATTTAAGGACACTAATACAAAACAGAGCTGACAGAATTATTTTAACTAAGGCTTACAAAGTCAACAAACCAAAACACAGTTTCTCTTATATCCAAGTAGTAGCTTTTCACCTAAATTCTGGCTTCACCAGAAAGATTTTTCCATAATCTCAGCACTGCTTTTGGCATTTTTCCCATCAAGGCAACAAACTGAATGAGAAGTTAGAGGGGAAAAAACCCAAAACTGCTAAAGTTGAGTGTAAGAACAAAGCAAACCCAAAATAATATTTTAACTAATCCATGGCTAAATAAATCTTTTAAGATGAAATTCAGCAGGGCTGCAGCAAACAGCTTTCCATAAGAAATTTCAAGTTAAATTGTCTTGATTTAACAGCAAGGCTTTGTTAGGTCAATTCCCTGCCCTTGACTCCACAAAGTAGAGATACCCAGAGACCTCATCGTTCAGCATGTCCTAGTGCAATCCTACACTTCTCACTCAGCCAAAACTCCCACTGACACTTTTAGTCAAGAAAAGAGTTCAAAACTGAGTCCTGTGGGTTCAGTTTCTGACTTAGCCCCAGCAACTCTAGGGACACTTTTCTCAATGTTTCTCATAGGAAATGTGATGTATTCCAGAGATCATTCTTATGGTACAAGCTGTAACCTCTGAAATTATTTATCTGCTTCCAGCAAATGGGTTAAGCCACTTTCTGGATTTGGTTTTTTGTTTATTTTGTGTGTGTGTGTATTTTTCCCCTGTGGGCTTGTTTCCCCCATCCTTTCCTTTCTTAAACAATTTTTTAAAAAGTCTGAATCAGATATTTTAAAGTCCCTGTGGATATCACTTAACTAATGTTGTTCCACACTGCAAAATACATTAAACATTCTGAACTTAGAAGAACCAGAATCAACAGATTCACAGATACCAACTTGTTAAATTGCACTGGAATGGGATGATTTCTCCTGGAGTTGCACAATTTAGCAACAGATTTTTCTAGATGCCAGAATGGATGTCTGATCATGAAAAGTCAATGCAAAGACATGTCAAACAAATGGTGGTTCTGAGATCAAACTTGCATCTTAGCATCCATTATATATTTAAAAGGTAGTTTGAACCTAGCACTTTTTGCCTTGATGGAAGAACAAAGCACATGTGCTGTAACATACAGACATTCACAACATGCAAATATTGACTGCATTTTGCTAAACTGTTGAAATACAAAATCCTTGGACCATTAGGAGTCACTTCCATCACTTGTACTTCCAGCACAGCAACATATCCACACAGATCATTCCCTGTGCTGAATTTTAAATAAATTATCCCTGCAGAGTGAAACCTTTGGCAGTTCCTTGTCATTATCACTGCATGGGAAGTTCATGAAACCACAGCCATGATAAACAGCTCGTGACATACCAGCGGGTTGCTTGACACAGGGGACACTTGGCCAACGTGGGAGGTGTTTCTTACAACCTAAACAGCAACACACTTAGTACTGGGTTCACATAAAGTGTAAAGCTAATAATAATTTTTTTCAGAAACAGACAATTTATACTAGATATTTTAACAGCTAGTTCTCAAGAATGTCTCTGACAGGATTTTATTCCTTTTGTCAGGTTTTGTTCAAGCTGAATTGGAAATTAAATTATCTGAGTTAAAACCAAAAATGGAGCAACATAGCGAACATGTACCAGCTTGAGTAATATTAGAGAAATGAACTTATGGGACAACTACAGTTGTCTTATTTTTTGGCTTTAGCAGGCATAAACACGAGATCTTTAATCCACAGCCACACAAATGTACTGCTTTTGCTTATCTGTGGGGTTAAAAACTGCCTTTGTAAAAGGTAGCAAGAATAAATTGTCAAGCTTTGGATTTTTCTTCCATTTCTGAAACAACATCAGATATATTGAATTATCTATTTATAAACAAAGCAGCTTTGGCTCAATTAATTTTACTAAGAGCCTAGTTATTTCCTCATATACAGTAATTATATTCAGTGAAAACTGACATCAATTTCAAAGACTAGGTTATTTGTTGTTACCCAACATATTTTTCTTAATTATTAATTTATTTTCTCTAACACAGCTAGCAGTGACAAACCATCAGAAACAGGTATTAGATTACATTGATTTGGGGTCAGATAAGTATGGCAGTTCCTATATTACTCCTTCTGTCTGAATAGTCTCTGTTCTCTTTAAAAGAGTGTATTTCTCTTCTCAACACAAGTATTTTGTACACTTGTGTCATTTCATGTCATTTTTATTTTGCAAATAATATAGGAAATCTGCTATCCATAAGAACATATGATATTTTCATTTCAGTAGATTTAGCACATTCTTGGCACTCCAAATGAATGAACCACATAGATCAAACACTATCAGAGGTCCACATAAGTTTACAAGAGATTCATGGGTCAAATCAGGGCAATTATTCACAGAAAGAATCTACCAGTTTCCACCAAAAAGGGATAAATGTGCATATCTTTCCCCACCCAAGGAGAATCATGCAAATACAAAGACTATTTAGTAAACATGCAAAACCCCCAAAACCCAACAGTGCAGTCACTCAACCCATGCAGAAAACTGTATAGGAGAGAAGTGACCATATGGGATCCTCTTCTGCTGCTTGAAACAAGTAAGCAGCTTTTGCCAAAAGAACAAGTACATGATTCTCACTACAGTGCTTAGCAAAGGGAATTATGATGAGTCAGCTGCCATTTCTTTCCTAAAGTGAGATTTGGCACATGATTTCTTTTATTTGATCCTCTTTTGAACTCAGATTGCAATAAGGAGAAAGTCAATGTTTTCTCAAAGTGCAGAAAGTCAAACCAGGGTACCAGCTCTTGCTTTTTTTGTTTCACGCAGTTTTGACCTTTTAAAAGTTAGACCTTCTGACAAATTTTCTTTGTCCACTCTTCTCACCTAACAAAGCAATTTGATGACACATTTAAAGAACTTCTACAAGTAATTTCCACTACAGGGATACTTTTCTCAAATTTAACAATTAATTAACTCTGCTGCCTGCAATACCTTTTTAAAATTTTTAATCACTTAAGTCCAAACAACCTTTTTTTTTTAAACTGATACATTCTGCTTAGTACATCTGCAGGTAATAGGGTTACAAGGTATGCAAGCAGGAGGGCAAACACCTCCTGATTTACATTTAAAAAATATTGAAACAAAACTACCTCTAGACAGCATTCACTACTGAAAAAAATGAAGAAACCACCCCATCCCCTCCTTTGACATTGCAAGGGGCAGAAGGGTAGCTCCAGTGGACAAAGAGGGTGATGGATCAGGGCAGGGAGGCACGCAGGGGAACAATAAAGGTGCATGCATCCAAACAGATCCCGAGGTCACCTGGGAAGCTGGTGTTACCAACAGGGCTGGACCTCGTGGAGCATTTGAGGCAGGAGGTGGATGAGCTGGCAGTGCTGGGGTGACAGTGGGGGGTGGTGGTGGCGGAGGTGGCGGCGGCGCACGCTGTTTGGGTTTGTCAACTTCATCTAAGTTGATGTCATCGAGGTCTGTGGTGTGCAGCTGCAGGCCCCCGGCAAAGCGCCGCATCGAGGTGGCAGGGGGAGAGGCAGAGGGACGGCCGCTCGCCAGCTACGGGCAACAGAACAGAAACCTGCCTCAACACTTGAGAGGAACGGGCAGCCCTAGGACACTGCTCAGGCCAACTGCTCCTCCACAGGAGAGCTTCACTTCTCCCATATACACCAACGTTTTCTCTGAAAGCCTTTCCAAAAGCACTCCTTGGGATTCCAGTTTAAAAAGAAGAAAAAAAGGAGTGACATGACAGCAGCTGCTGGGGTAAGGGGCTCGAGAAAGAAACCCCCACAAAACCCCAACGACATGAAGTTTTCAGAAGGCAAAATCACAGGACAAAGCAAGATAACACAACTTTTGCCTCTCTGGCTCTTATGAGGAGAAAGGAAGAATTGCTCCTCACAAAGGTGATTATTTGAAAGAAAATAATCAAAGACAGGCCTTGAGATTCTATGTTGCTAAAAAAAGGGAAAGGGGTTAAAGTTGTGTTAACATAACCACACATCAGTACAAGAAAGGAAACCACGCTTAAGCAGCTATCAAAACAAAAATTTAGTGTGCTATTAAATTCACAACCTCAAGGGGCTTGATATCTTATAATTTATGTTAATCCACAAGGGGTTTGAGATTTTATAATTTATGTTAATCCACACCAGATCTATTGGGTTACTAAACAACTTCAGAATGCAACGAGCAGCTCATCCAAAAAAATAACAATGTGTGTGAGGAAGGCATCTACATATGCTGTTAGAGTTGCTACCATTTCTTTTATCAGTGATCCAGCTGGAGTATTTGAGAAAATTCAGTCATTTTGCTATTTTGTAGACTCAGCTCAGGAAACCTTAAATAGATAATCTGTCTGACAGACACATTCATCTTGCTCTAATATGGCTACATGTCCCTCAGTGGGTGACACTTTGCACATTCTTCTTATCTAACATGCTCACCTCCTTGTGCTGAAAAATTGCTATTTCTTTGGCAGAGGTTGAGATCTTGAATGCTTTTGCTCCTAAGAAACAGTTTCAACCTGTAGCACCTGAATATCTTTCAGCTGCATTTACCCCTAAGGAGCACTCAGGTTTTGTGTTTTACAAGTTTTAACTGCTTGGGTAGAAAAAAAATCACATTAGAGCAATTACATAGAATGGAATTTTTTGTAGTATGGTAATTATATATAATGGATGGAGCAAACACAACACAGAGCATTGGTCTTAAATCCAGGTTGAGCTCTGAAAATACGACAGTGTTTGTAATCTGTAACGATTCTTCTTACTTTACAAAGGAGGACAAAGTTCTAGCAGAACACAGGCTGCCAAGTTTGGATAGTGAGAGAAAACCTCTGCATAATCATTCCACTAAAGACCTGTACTAAAAAACCACATGGATCTGAGCCTAGGGCCATGAGGAACAAAATATCAGCTGCCTTTTTTTTTTCCAGAGCTGCTCCACGCTGACCTGAAGGAAAATCATGCGAGATCGTTCCCCAAGGTCCCTTTTGTGGTTGCAGTTTCTTGGGGATCCCATGAGAGCTCAGTAGATTGCAGTGTTCCTCTTGGAAGCGGCTTTCCTTGGAAGACAGCCAGAGCAACAGGATGGTGGGAAAGCCTCACCACACGTCCAGAACCATCAGGCTCTAAGGAACAATCACTTTCTGCAGCTCCCCTGATTAAAGGGGACTACTTAAAGTACAAGCCCAAACCCTATTCCTTGTGAGTTTTGTATCTTTTTGTAATTTTCTTATCCTGATTCTTTATTTCATACAATAGAAGGAAGCTTCCAAGAGCTCATAATCAATGATGCTCTTATATTCACATGATACTAATAAATACAGCTGGATCCAGCTTTAGTTACTGGTAGCATGTCCCACCTAGCCCAAATATTTCATGAGACAATAAAATTGTTAATTTAATAGTGATTATAGAATTAAAAAGGACAATATACAATCAGTTCATTAAAATAATGTTTAAATTTTCATAAGCTATAGGAAAAGCAAGTAAGTCATCAATTATTGACTTTTTCCCCCTTCCCTTAGAAAGGACTGAGGGGGAAAGACCAAGACAGATTTTTTTCACTGGTAAAACCTGCTGCTTTTAGGAGACAACTTTCAGTTATTTAGAGATCATGCAATATATGGAAAAGCTAGAATTTTACCTCAGGAGACTCATTCTCCACAGAGGAGATCTGTTCTAACCGTGTTTGACAAAGTCTTTCCACCCAGTGCTGAACCTTTTCTGATTCTTCCAGATCTTCTCGTTCTGTCTCAGATACCTTGACCACAACATTGGTGCATTAGAAAAAGTTACAGGTATGGTCAGAAGACAAATATGTTTCAAAAGAATGAAATGCCACCTAAAATAGTTTTAAAAATAATAATACTTTTAAGAATGATTTCCTATTTTGCTGTTTTTCAGTAAATTCATCACTACATATCGTATACAGAGATATCCTCATTTGGACAAAAGCTGACTAGAAATCAGCAAATTTGGCAACAGAATTTTGCAGTACAACAGTTTTGAAAATTTCCTTATCTTTGAAATAATTAAACAAGTGTCCTGCTAAAGTAATTCCACTAAAAATCCATTTAATTTTCTTTCAATACAGCCTTGCACTTGATAGATCACAACATACCTCTTGCACAAGACGATTTATTTTCAATTGTTTTTCTTTCTCCAGCATTCCTTCTTTCTCTTTGGCAAGTTTTTGCTCAAACTCCATTTCCTTTTTGTTCTTCTTCTGTTCACAAAAACTATCACTTTTTGACTTCTTTCGTTCTTTCCCTTTCTGGGAAGGTTTTGTAAGAAAAACTTTTACATCAGCTAAAACCACCAGAAACTTCAATCTTGGTACATGAGTGTCTGCCTTGAAAACTTAATTACAGTCTACGCAAGTATGGGTATGGTTTTTTAAAAGAAAATCCAAAGTTCCTTTACTCAGCAATTTGCAAGAAATTCAAACTTTTTGGAGGGCTTGTGCCCCCTAACATAAGCTGGATGAGATCAGAGAATTCAACTTTTTTGTTCCTCTGCAAAGTTACAACTTCAGGGCGCACAGGCCCACTACAAAACTTCGAATATTCAAACAGTTCTGGTTGTAACTTAAATTGCCATCTCTCTGTTTTGGCATTTATATATAAATATATGAATGATTGCTTTCAGGTGACAGATTCTCATGTATAGGTAGATGTGCATAGTCCATGCATGCAACAGCTTCATGCATATGCCCTAAAATCAGCATGGCATCCCCTAATAAAACTGAAATAAGGAATTGTAAAGGAAAGGTTTAGATCAGTGCAGAAACTGAGTTGCTTCCAAGAACTGCATCACAAAGACCATGTAGCTCCTACAAGCACTGAATAAAATCTACTCAGATGAGTTAAATAATACAGCACAAAGTGACTCTTAAAATTTTAGATGTAGGACACAAAGGGAAAAGCTACATAGTCTTTTGGAAGCCTCTGTTCCTGTTGTCTTCAAAACACACACTGCTCCTTATTTCTTCTTTAGTGATGTCACATTTCTGCTGCCCTTTCACATTTGTACAGGTAGGACTTAGTTCATTTTGGAAATGCCATGTTCTCCTTCTATTTATGAAAAGTAAAACAGAGGAGCAGGTGGCCACTTATAGGCAATTACTGCCACAGCCAGAAAGGTTGTGCTTAGGTTTGATTTTATTCTTCTCATCAGCAGCAGCTATTGACTTTTCTTGCTTTGAATTCCTAAAACCACCACAAACTGCTTCACATTAAATAGCGTTATTTGTCTTCCTTTCACTTTTTGCACGTTAATATTGATAAAGCCTTGGAGAACAGACATTTTCCCTGGCAGCTACAGAAGCCAAATCCCCCAGTCAAGCAGCTAACTGGAACTTTGTACTGCTGAGTTCAGTGGGATGTGGTGTATTGCTTCATGGTTACATGGTGGTGGTGTTTTAGGGAGGGGAACAGGGGGAAAAGGAACCCCAAAAACATTGGAAATAAACCTTAACTAAAAAAAATCTAGCTTTTCACACTAATGTTTTAACATAAACCTAATTCTCTGGTCCATTTTGTTCAGGGCTAAGTAGTTTTTACCTTAACAACAATTGCCAATATCATCCTCCTAAAAATTCAAAGATATGTTTAGAACTGTCTGCCAGATGTAACATCAGGCAGGCCAACTAGCTAGGTGTCAACATTTGAATAATTACTGAATTCAAAGGCCCACTAAGCAGTACACAAGCCAAAGTCTTCTAGAACATGAACATATATCTGAGTGTCTTAGCTGCACTCACAGCATTCAGATGCAACAGGATGATTCATCCTTTCCTACAATTTTCCCCATGGATTCAGTTTAGTTCCTATTATAGACATTTTTAGTACAGAGTGAAATATTGTTTTTAAAACAAACAAAAAATCATTAGCAATAGGGAGTAGGATAGAAATTCACCACTGCCAAAAGCAAATGATTGAAAATAAAATCTTTTTAAGCTTCCAGTGCACACAGTGTGGTAAAGTTCAACAGGAATTATGTTAAAATAATTGGTATATGAAGAGGTAGTCGGGCATTCTCTAAACTATAATTCTCAGTAGCAACCCCAAATATTACCTCTTTGAGTGAAGAGTTTCCAGAGCATGCATTTATAATTTTCACATAAAAATCCCAATTGCCCTGGCTTTCACACAGGTTACAGATCCATGATGATTTACAGTCACTAGCAGTACAAAAAGCTATTGGAATGCACCATCTTCTCCTGATCTATTTTAAGGGGAGCAGGTCTATCCTGGGCACACAGAAGGTCAAAGTAATAGTCCTAAACAGTGACACAAATACTTCATCTATCAGAAACAATCCTGACCTCCTCTGAAACCTTGAGTTCTTGCCAGATACACACACAAAATCTTCATGGCACTTTTACCACAGTTAATTAGCAAAAAAACACCACTAAAGCACACAACAAAACAGCAATCCCTCTATAATATGGCTAATATGCATTGCAAGAAATAAAGGAAGCAACATCAAGTACAAAATATTACTTGAAACTCTCATAAATTGAAATTGCAATACTTCAGCAGTATTCCATACAGAAGTATTCTATCAGCTTAAAGATTTTTAACTTTTTTTTGCTCATATGTGCATGCCTAAAAGCTTTTTACCTTCAGCACTCCTCCTCCAAGGAGATTTGCAAAAGTATAACTGGATAATTTTTGTCTCTACTGTTTTTATATACACATGATTCTGAGGACTTTTGGAGAACATGAAGACATGCATGGCCCACCTGTAATAAACACCTGCAAAGTACTGTTATACAATTCCCTCTGCACATGGCAGAACCCAGAGCCTGAAGGACTTGAAAGGACAAAGTCCTAGACACATGCATCCCAAAGGCATCTTAATTTGTGCACACATTTAAAGAAGAAGCATTTGACTATAAAGAATGCTTACTAATAGCAGAGAAGAAGAAAAATAAGGAATTCCAATCCAAACACACACAGCAAACAAATTCACGTTTCAAACTTTGTACCTTACGGATTGTGGGGAATTTCCCTTCATACCGATAAAACCATCCAAAAGCTACAAAAAATAAAGGAAAAGTTGTTTTTTGAAGAAAAGCCAAGGACAGGTTCATTATTAGACCAATCCATGCTGATATGTGTAACTGATTAAGATTTATTTGAAGGCGCAACACCAGAGGTTTGATATTACATGACAAGTTCTTAGCTAAATTCTTGATAAATTGTTCTAGAACATTTAGTCATAGACTTCCCTTATTTTAATGATACATATTTTATGCCAAACAAAGAAAATGCAACAAGTAATCTTCATGCAGAACCACACACGCCATGTGCATTGCTAGGATTTTTATGGTCAAACTCCTACTTTACAGTAGTTTTAGCAAGCCTTATGAAAATTAACCAGGTATTCAAACTCATTCAAATTTGTGGCAGAACATGACTTTTGAGGAGATATGAAAAGCTCCATTTCCCAGGACAAAATATTTCAAGCCAAGTGCATAACTATTATAAAATATATTGCTGAGTAAAAACATACAAAAGAATATGTTACCATAACTTTATATAAGAAACACCGCTAACACAGAGCACACAATACAGTCCCTGTTTCTGTAGAGTTGTTAGATTTCATATCAAGGTTATCTTTAGATGCAATGACAGCAGCAGTGTTAAAATCTTTCCTCATTTACTAAAGGACCACACAAATTGCTCTGGGAAAACCAAATGGTCAGTTGCATGTCAAGACTGACTGTCAGGAGGAGGTGAGACACAGGAAGAATCTGAATCAGGATAGGAAGTCAGGGCTGAATGGCAAACCTGTTTGTCCTGCTTCATGTTCACTTCATCCATGTCATTTGTTTCAAATTCATCATGTGCAAGTCCCTTTAAGTCTTCTAGAGAAACAAAGGAGGAAAGGGGTGAGGGGACAGAAGTGACAGTAACTGGGGGTTCCCATGAAATGAAAAAGAGATCAGTAATGTGTGACTAGAAGTTTCCATGAAACAAAAATCATAGTTAGTGATGGGATGTTTTTCTACAGAATTGATTAAAAAAAAAGGCCCTACTTAAAATAATCTCCAACCTCCTCCAGTCCTGAAGAGCTAATAGGATCTGCATGTGAACAACTGGTCTGCTATGTGGTGAAGGGAAGCCTGAAGAGTTCAGTGGCTTTTCCTGTAACAGAACCATCAGCAGACTTGCCCAAAGTCACACACAAAATAATATAATAAAATGATATCAGGTTAGGAATCGGCCCAGGTCTCCTATGAATTATGCAACAAGAACTTTCCACATTTTTCTTTGTACAATACAAATTTAGTACACTCTCCACATACAATTTGCAGCTTCCAATTTAGCTTAACTGCCAGCTAAGCTCCAACTCTCTTAATTCCCTTTGGACAAGTAAATCAGAAAGCCAGCAGCATCCTGGGCTGCATCAAGAGCAGTAGGGCAAGGGAGGGAGGTCTGCCCCTCTACTGTACTCCATGAGACCCCTCCTGGAGTGTTGTATCCTGTTCTGGAGCTCCCAATATAAGATGGAATGCCTGGACCTGTCAGAATGGGTCCAGCAGAGGGCCATGAAGATGATCAGAGGGCTGGAGTCCCTCTACTATGAGGAAAGGCTGAGGGAGCTAGGGCTGTTCAGCTTGGAGAAGAGAAGGCAGCTGGGAGACCTTAGGTGAGCCTTTTGGTACCTAAAAGGGGCCACCAGAAAACTGAAAAGGAACTTTTTAAAAGGGCATGTAGTGACAGGAAAAGGGAGAATGGCTTTCAACTAAAAGAGGATAGATTTAGATTAGATGCTAGGAAGAAATTCTTTACTGTGAGGCACTGGAGCAGGTTTCCCAGGGTAGGTGGTGGATGTGCCATCCCTGGAAGTGTTCGAGGCCAGGCTGGATTGGACTTTAAGCAACCTGATCTAGTGGAAGGTGTCCCCATCCATGGCAGGGGGTTGGAATAAAGAGATCTTTAATATCCCAAGCCAAATTGTGAAAAGGCTGACAGATAAACACTGAACAGAAGCAACATGCAAAATAGTGCACCAAATCCCCAAGGTTCATGCTTCAGACCATTTCTTAGTAAGCCTTATTATTTTTATTTTTCCTGCTGCTGATTGTTGAAAACCACAACTATGTGAACGGATGTAGATTTTGCAAGATGGATACCTGTTAAATAAGAATTATTTAATTGATTTATCATATGCTTCCAGTCTTCCAAAAATAATAAATTCATAGCAACCTTAACTTGGAGACAAAACTAGTGGTATGTTCCACAGAGCTCAGTGATGTGTCTGAGACAAATGGAAGGAGGCAATTTGACATCAATTACTTACTTTTGTGTTTGGAACGAGGGGCAGAGTGCACTTCTGCAGTTACAGTTTTTAGAGACTTGGGTGGTTCTTTCGGACCCCAGTCTTCTTCCCACTCCTTTTTAAATTTCTCTTCCTCTGCTGTTATCCTAGAGGAAACAAATGCAGTTAGACATTGAGTACAAGATCAGCATCATCAGTATATATTCATTACCATTATAATTTTTCAGTGTATCTGTTTTTTCTCTAGAATACAAAGCATAATAAACTGCTCCTTCCTCATAACTAAATTCCTTTCATCAATTTGTTTCACTTACTAAGCTACTAAGACAATTTGCTAAATACAGTGTAAGATATTCTTATTTAGTATTTCGACTTCTAAGGCCTGTTATATAAACACCAGCACAGATACTAAGCCATAAGTGACACACTACAGTACTGACTCTCACCTTAAATGAAGTAAAACACATCTCTCATTTTGCAATTTTTTCATTTTTAGGACTGGAATTACTTACTAGAAAAACTGAAACACTGAATGACAGAATAGCAGCCATACATGTAAATCAGATGTCACAATGGCAAATAATACCAAAAAAATATCACTCCAATATGTGACTCTCTCTATCTTTAAAACTATTTTGATGATTGCTTCCTAAACACATAGTTCTAGGTTGCCATAAAAAGTGACTCTTCCCCAAAAGAAATAAATACTGTTGGAACAGAACCCATATTAAATTCTGTATTTTAGGAAAAAATCAAAAGAGAGGAGAGGGGAATAGAGAGGTACAGATAGAGAATGGGGGTGCTGCAGGGAGCGTCACAATTCAGGACAAGAGCATGCAAAAGAAGTAAATTACCTAGCATTGCACTTTGATCAGAGAAAAAAGATGTTTCAAGCAAAAATTCAGCAAGTACCAACTATGTCACAGTAGAAGTGCTGAATAACCTGACAACATGCAGCTTCATATATGTTGCCTTAAATAATCCAAGATCTGTTCTTGATAATAGCTTGCCTTGAACTGATAATGCGGTGCCAAAATTTACCAGGTCTTACATACATATGAATCTATATTTGGATTATCTTTTGCATCTCTAAATTAGCTAAAGTAAATTGAAAAAATATTCACATGGTGTCAAAACACTCTTAAATATGTAGTTGAGCTCACTATTTAAATTTAGAGGCATTGTCAGGGAACAATGGACAGAATGTTTTTTCATTTAATTTTAGTTTTTAAAAGTTGGTGTTACAATGTAAATTGCAATACATAGAGTTAGGGACCTCTGCCATTTAGGGACATATGAATTTTTTTTTCAAATGTAAGATACCAAAAAAGGGCACAGTGACTTTATACAAGGAACTCCTGCAGAAAGGATTCTTAAAAGAAGGCAAGGCATAATACTCAGAAACAATTAATACAGAAAAACATTGTATTTTAGCCTGCCACAACTGCTCATTAAATATCAGCTTTAGATTTCATCTAGGTTCCTGTGCTACCATTCTCCCTCTTCCTCACCCAGGAGTTTGACACCAACTTAACAGTTTGGATTGTGATATGGAAAAGCTAAAAAATGCCTGAGCAACACTTAAAAATTATACAAGGAAGTATAAAGCTGTGCTAGACTTTATACTGAGCAGCCCCCAGGGCATGAAAGCCCTCCCTGAGTGAGTAAAGCTGCTCTTAGTGCAGAACAACACAGCAGACATCCAACCTCCATTATAAGAGACAGGCAATCTAGATTTGGGGAACAGAATCATCCTTCACCTGTGATGGCCTGCTTTTATAGCAGCTTTTGGCTATTGCAGGAATTTCTATATAGGCCACAAATAAAGAACAGGATGTTATCAACTCCCTGGGATCAGAAAAGGGAAATGCATAAGAATTCATCCATGTGCTGCTGTAGAGCCCCCAGCAGGACTGCCAGAAAATTTTTCTCTTGTGACAGCTTGGGAATATATTTCTTTATGCATCTTATAAATTCAGAATTCCCTGCTCTTTTTCTATGAGAAAATTTTGACTAATATAGATACATGAAAAGAAACCTAAATGAATTAAATTAATTAAAACCCCTTAATATGTCAAACAGGCAAAGCCAAAGACTTGAGGGTCAATCTTAGCCCTAGAAGGCTGAATCAAAACAGATATTACTCTGCAATTTGCCTTTTCATGAAATTTCCCAGCATCATTTAGAAGGAAAGTTAATTACTCTGACAACAACTAGTTAATTTCAAAACTTGCAAATGTAAAAATGCTTTAGTTAAAAATATAGTACTGATCTGTTTCTTAGCAGAACTGCATTTTTTCTCTTAGAATTAATGTAGTGTTTCAGTGACAACAAAGTAGACAAGTTCTGGGGCACAGAATTTCCTGAATCTTAAGTTTCTCTATATATTAATAATACCTTTAAAATAAGTTCTCAACTTCAACTTCACACTGAATTTATTATTGCCTCACGTTTATTTATAATCCTCATGTTTACAGGTGCTGATTTTCAGATCAGTTTCCTATTCTTTAACTGTGGTGTACTTACTGATATGTACTGGATCCTACATTTAGCTAAATGGAAATACTACACAATTTTATTTGAAAGCAACACGCAGAATGTTTTCAGCCAGATCTAACCTAATACACAAGGAAGAACCCTTTTCCAGGTGGCACATTGCCTGTGTAAGGTTTTTACTCACTGCTCTATTTCTCTGCGATATCTCTCCTCTTCCTCTGCAGCCTTCTGGGAAATCTCCAGCTTTCTTCTATAATAAGTGGAATTAGGACAACATGATAAAAATAGTGCTTTCTGAGTAAGAACCTGAACAAAGTGTGTCAGCATATAGTTAGTTAAAAGTTAAAAACAGTAAATACATTTGTATTGAGGGAAAATACTCAATTTTCAAAGTCATCTTTGACACCAAAGGTTCAGTACGGTTTCCTAGGAACCCCAAGGACATTCCTGACCACATGGATAATTAAGGGCATATACTCTACTTGATTCTCTGAGTCACTGTCTTCTTCTGAGAAAAGACTATAGTGTGTTTTTGTACGAGTTTAAAATGTCTAACTATCTTGCTAAAAATAAAGCATGAGTGAATAGCATCAGGAAAATAATGAGTACCACACATTGGGGTATGAGAGTCAGGGAGCAGCATGACTCTTCTACTCAAGATGGCTTGAAATGCTATCAGCTTTGAAAGCCCAGAATACCAAGGGCATCATAGGACAAACATTTTATGAACAGAGACCCTGCAAAAGCAAAACAAAGCTAATCTAAATTGAGAATCTTCTCACTTTGGTGAGAAATATCACAGAAATAATTATGTGCTCCTGTCTTCCATGCCCTCTCCAAATCCAAGCTAAATTTTTCAGGCTGTCCTATAGTGAGTTCTCACAATCTCTCTTTCTCTTGCTGCTCTTTGATGATTTTGTTGGTCTCCAGCGCAATTCGCTTCTGATGCATTAACTCCTGGCGCTCCAGCTCACGGAGACGTGCTTCTCTTTGCCTTTCTTCTTCAGTCATGAACAGCTCCTTGCCCTGCAATCAAAACCACCACCCCCATCAGTTGTGAAAATACCTCATATTAAGGCAGTTCTTCTCAGAAATAATTCAAACCAAATTACACAGTAACACATCTGTGGATGCTGACAGTCTGGTCAGATAAACTTTCTCAGGCATTATTCTGGGGGAGCTTGAGAAAGTTTATCTGATTTTCTCTCAGACTGTCAGCATCCACAGCACATCTGCCATTTCCTCACATTGCTCTTCCTGAGAAACACACCCTGGAAGATCCTCAAAGACCTGACTGCTTACTCCAAGGAGCTATTCTAGTTTCAGCCTTCAGTTATTATGTACAAAACACTTCAGACAAGGTTTGCAACTACTGAAGTCAGCAACAGCACCATAGGGGTCTTGCCAAATTTATGCTCAGTGTCACTCAGAAAAAAAAAAATCACATTATACTTTCTTGAAACCTCACTGGGCAATGAAATGACAGAAAACAGAACACTGAATGATTCCCAACGTGAAGAAAACTACACAGTTACTGTGTTTTAATGCTCTTAATGCCTGGCTGCTGCAGAAACGTGTCATCATTCTGGACCCCAAATATAGGGAATGTATGTCACCAAAATACGCTGCAGTTTATGCATTTCAGTTGGTTTTATGTACTTCAGTTTGTTCAGTTGATGTGTTTCAGTTGGTTCCTGTTTAATTTGCTTTACAATTAAGACACTAGCACTATTTTCTGTTCAAGAAAGCTATTTCTATACTGCTATAGGTAGAACACTCGGATAACGTTAATCTAATTTTCATTTCTGAAATAAAAATCTCATGTTACTTAGGAATGTAGGATTTTTCCTGTCTCTAAAGTGCAAAGTAGACATCTTGAACAAAACCAGGCATTGAGGAATGTCTTTGCACCATAGTAGGGAAACTTTGCTTATGCTATCTGTTCTCCAGTCAAAGATGTCTGTCGAGAAGATGATGCAAGGGGAAGGAGTGAGGAACAGAGGAGTTCCATAGCAACAATTTGCCATTTTAACAATACCACCCCAGTGATGCATGCTGAGGTAGATCTCATGTTTTTTAAGTTAGTTTCAACACCCAGTTATGTTAACAAGTCCTTAGGATGTTGAATTCCTGAAGCCTCATCAACTAACCCAGAATATTTGTTTAAATAATATCTACAGCATCTTTGGACAACTTCATCTTTTGTTACTCTAAGAGTAGATCAAATAAACTATCAATTCCTTAATGTAGCTACACAGCATACATGAGCCCTTAGGAAGTAGCTGAAGTGACTTATTAAATCTTTTTTTTCCCCCTATTTAACTCAGTTGCAGGGCAATTTGAAAACATGGTCTTTGATTAGTCTGTGGAACTTGATTATCCTCTTGTATACAACTACACACTTTCTATAAGGATTAAAGCAGTAAAAACATTAAAACATTTATTGAAAGTCACACTGAAGTCAGAGGGAACATTTAATTAATTTCAGCTGGCTTTAGATTAGATCTCAAAGGCTTTGGGTTCTGTTGCACAGAACAGTGGAAATGAAAAATTGAGCAATTTTCAGTGTGTCAATACACTAATGAGATCAGATAAACAGTTTCAAAAGGAACTCATTTGGAATAAGACTAAGGCATCAGCTATTCAGGATTAAAAATTATTTGTCTCCAATTCACCTTTCATGTTTCAGCAGAAGCAGATATCTATTAGAACAGAAGCTCTCAAACATGAGAGACCATTACAATAAAGTTAATTTCCATTCCTTGTGAAGGAAATGATTTTGCTTTGGCCCACAATCATGTTTTATTTGACAATACTTGGTGTGGTATGAAAGAATAACATGCCACTCAAAACTGTGCTGGTTTGACAGAGTTATAGATCTTATACAGAAACACAGTTTTTGTTTTTATCCATTTATTTTTACCATTTATTTACTCACATAGCTTTACTCATTTCTGCTTACAAATGTTCTGCTTTTACAAATATGCTACTTACAGCGCCTGCTACCACAGAGATAGTCAAAGTACGGCTGCTCTTGAGCACTCTGACAGCCTGAAAATTAAAACAAAAATCAGTGTGAAGGAAGGGATAAATGGCCAGTATAATACTAGTTACCAAGGCTGGAATTTCCAGAACTAAATAGAGTCAGAGGTATGCAAATATCCAAAATCCATGTTCAATACATAACCCCTTGAGCTAATAGCCCAGAATCAGAACATACTTTTTGTGGACAGGAAAACAGGACACATGTTTAATAAGCTGACAACTACAAATCCAGAGAATTAAGAAGACTTTTACCTCTTTGTGATCCACATTAGAAAAGTCCACTCCATTCACCTCAACAATCTGATCACCAACCTAAAGGAATTAATGCAAATTTTGGTACAGATGCTAAGTTAGTACATATATTCAATGAAAACAGAAAGAAATGTGCTTTCTAACACCCTTCACACAACAATCATGGGTACTGGCAGAGTGCAAGGGGAACAGACTGGAAACTGGTCAGGCTTGCATACTCCTGCACTGGGATCTGCTATTGCCACTGCTAGGGATCAAATCCTGAGCTTGAAGGAATATTGGTCTGACTCAGGTCCCTCCTGTTCTTACATTTTAGAAAACTAGCTTTGTTTGAAATATAACCACCAGATATTTCTTCCCTATGGGGAAGAAAACCCTCCTGAATCCTTGGAGTTTTCAATACAAAACAAGAATTCCTTGTGGTACCTACCTTGCAAGGTGGTAAACTCACCTCTAAGCCCACCTCTGCTGAAAGAGAATCTGGCTTAACATTGCTGATAAAAATGCCTGGTTTTTGTGTTGGACCACTGGAAATACTGGAAATGTAAAAAATCCCAAACATTAATTGGATAATATTTATAGAATAATATTTATGAGGAATACAGTGTAATACAGTGAGTAGTTTTAGCTGTTTCTTCATAAATTTTTGCCTTAGTAATATCTATGGTATTAGAAACAAATACCAAAACTTACCAGTACACACACAGTGGTTTATCATCCTATTTTCCTATTCTCTACCCCACAAAACTGGTTTAAAAGAAAAAATACTCAATCTTCTGTATTTTGCCTTACATGCTGAAACTTACATGTATGCTGACCTACACTGTCTAATGATATCTGAAAGTGATCAAGCAACACAATGAAGAATTATTAATTATTTGCTGAACTGCAAGACACTGTAAGTACAAAACATGGTTATTTTATTAGGATTACTTATTAGAAGCAAGAAGGATGTTTCATCCCGAAGCCAACATCTAGCTCAGGAACTTTAAGCTGCAGTCTAAGCTGGGCCTAGAAACAGAAACTATTTACTAGATTATATATATTCAATGAGTGATGCTGAGCCACCTCTCCAGGTTTGTAAATCTTTTTTTGAAAACCTTTACATCCTCCAATTACAGGAGAAAAGAGTCCTGATAACTACAACTATATATTTCTAAATATATAAGAAATCCTACAAAATGCCTTCTACTCCAAAACCTCCGTAAGTATTGCAAGGATTCCAAGAATCCCAGAATCATGTTTCTAAAATCTCTTGCAAATTCAAGATTAATTTTAGGAACTGGATGCAGCTTTGTGATGGTGTTTTAGCTCTGAAATGGGTCAGAGAATGCAGAGAACAAACCTGACAGTGGACAGTGCTGGAATTTGCTATGTCACTGAGCAGCACTTTTAAGTATTTAAAAATGTAAAAGCATTTAAAAGATCCAATTCCATGTCAAGTTGTACTAAGGCACTTTCAGTCCTTTTTTTTATTTCTAAATTTCAAAGTTTTTTTCTTCATGACAGTACTTTTAACACAGCTACTTACACTTTGCCTAAAAATATGTAATACGTGCCACAGATACCCTACTGTTAGTTTGCCTTCCTGATCCAGCATGGATCTTTATTTTCCTGATATATCCAAGAAGGATGGAAATAAGTGCCTTGAGTGTCTCCTTTAAAAAACAGTGACACTAAATAAAAAACGTGTACCCACCTGCATCCCATGCCTTTTGTACCAATCAAGCTAATGAAGACTTTCTTCTCTTTACTGTCTCTCCCTCCAGAAGAAGCAAGTCCAGCAATACTGCCCTTTCCTTCCTGTAGAGGGATTAAACAATGCTGCAGACGTTAATTCAGTCTTGAATTCGTATCAAGACTACTATAAAATTTCATGTAGCCAGAATGAATCCCAGCCAGCATCAAGATAAGATTCAAGGTCCTATTCAAGGCTCCAAGGTCCTATCCTGATGGAAATGAAAGTGAGGTAGAGTAATTTCAGTGGAGCTGCATGGCTGAGGTGAAAGACTGAACTTATCTGTTTTCAGAAGATTACTTAAATAGTCAAATTTTGTCTTCAGAAAGGAGTGGAGGAAAATTAGAGGAAAGTGATATGGAAAAATAATAATTTAGATTATTGCTCCCTGACAAAAGGGTTGGAGAAATACATGATAAGGCTCACTATTTAAGTAAGTCTTTCTTCCTGAAAGCAAAATAATAGTAATTGTGGCATTTCTTTTCACTTCTGCAACCCTTAGAAGTCACTTGCATTCAAAATTGTAATTCCTCCACTAATATGCCTAAAATAGGCCAAATAATCTGATAAACATTTATGCAGTAGAACTACAGCCTGGGAAGTTAATAAACTCAAGCAAAATGAAGAAGCAATTAATGAGTAAAAGCAATTTCATTTGTGTCCTGCCCTTTCCTTACCTAATAGCTCTAGAATCATTTCATAGCACAAAAGATGTTCCTCACAGAATACTTTCAACAAGATATTGCATTATAGTAATGCATCAATAACTTCTCTGATAAGATCAGAGGAGAAAGTGTTTCAGAACCATTACAGATTCCCAGAAGACATTTAACAAAATATTGATCTCTTACCCCAGACTCTGACACAAACTGATCCACATATTGCCATTTAAGGGGTTCGTCTGGTGAACTGAAAGGAAAAAATAATTTTAAATAATGGGACAAAATAAATGTCAATGTATTCCAGAAGCTACTTTGGAATAGAGCCTTCTGTTTGGCATCCACAACTTTCTTTGGATAGCATTCACATTTGGTTTATTTTCAAGCAATTTAAACAGAACATTAAACAAGAGTACAATTATTGGGGCAAGTAAAGGTTGAATATAAAATTGATAAAGCCCTCTCAGGTGAAATAATTTTAGGAAACTCAGAGGAACACTGTAAAACAAACCATAACCACTCAAACATCTTACAGAAATGTCTATGCAGAGTGAGACCTCCTGTCATTAACACTTCTCAAACATTCCACCTAAAGATTCAGCTTTTCAACCAAAATTAGAAAAACAATTTTAAATTTTTCTAAACTCTGCAGCCATCATCAAATGCTACATGCACAAAGAAGCCGTGAAGCTCTCTGCTAAGCTAGGTGCATTGATAATTAAATTTCCATTAAATATCTGTGACAAATGAGGAAATAGAAATTGGTTCATTTAAGTAGGCAACTGGTATAATATCAGATTCATCAAGCAAGACATCTGCCTGTTCATTGGAAAGGATGTGACATTTTAATCAGCCTTCACAGATTTTCATAATTAAACAGAGATTCCTGGGATAGAAGAGGCTGTGCAAAAATGAATCTGTTTTCAAATGAAAAGCCAGTACCTTTTGACAGGTATCATGCCAATATCTGAAAAAGAAAAATACTTTATTAGGTTCCTGCAGACCACAAGCAATCCATTAATAGCAATCATTGGTGATAGAGGTGATTTTTTGTGTTACTCACGTCTAACTTTTATGGACACGATTTTCTTTGTACGGATGAGGTTGATGACCTCTTCATGTGTGCATGAGGAAATGGAATATCCATTTATGCGCACTATCTCATCCCCAACCTCACAAACAGAAGGGAAAAGAAAAAGTAATTGTGGGTTAAGAGTTTTAGAAATTTTTAAGACTGAATGCAATCTAGCAATCATTTTGATGCAAAGGTTAGATCATGTTGATTCATGAATACTTTCTGAATCTTAGGTAATGTCAGATCAGATTTACTGTATTTGTTTTAAATTAATACCAAACACCAAAAGAGCAAATTAATGGCCAAATAACAATTTTATAAATACTGTCTACTATACATCAGATTTGTACTCCACAGATTACCTTAAAAACAAGACTCTGTGTTAATTCCTATAATTTTGGAGTTATTTTCTTGATTTATACTTCAGAAGTTAAAGTTTGCTTTTACTGTATGCTTTCTGAGATACCTTCCTTAATATATTTGATCAATAGGAAACTAAACTTAGTCTTATTATCTTGACTGATTCTGGATTGAGAAAATGCATTATTTTAAGGGATTTTACCTCTTTGTCTTTGGGGACCCTGCTAACATTTATTGGCAATCCAATGGCAGCACCCCAAGGACATCCCTGGCAGTGTTCAATTTAATAGTATAGAACTGACAGGGTGCTTTCAGTCGGTTCTATAAAATTTCAAATCTTATTTATCAAAGTACAATCAAAAAATTTCTCTTCCTCTAATATAAATCCAAATTTGATATGCTATGATGACTAGAGAGAATTTTCCAAGTTTTTATGAACTCTGCCCAATGATCCTCTTACCCAGCTAGGCTGAGAAGGAATCAGTGACGAAGACGTTGCCTACTTCATTGAAGTAGTGCCTTATTATCCGCTCAAGATTACAATGAAAAATTCCAGGTCCTGGCTGGAGCACCATAAGCAAAGACTTTTACTTGATGTGAACCACATGATGTGGCTGTATGAAAATTAGTGCATGATTTCTTCCATTATCAATGCAGATCAATCCACTGCACAGTAAAATATACAAATGATTACCATGAAATTACCTTAACAAACCATCCACCATATCATCTTATACCTCTGATCTCCACATGGACAAAGCCAAATACTTGGGGTCCTTTCCAGTAGCATTTCCTCTGAACTATTGTGAATATTTGTTATGAAAAATGTATTTGATGAGACTTTGCTCATTAACACCAACAGCATAGGATTTTATTCTCAGTCAATGAAACTTTGGGTTCCTCCTCACAAATGTGTCTGGTTTCATGGCAGCATTATCCCTAGTTAATGATTGCCTAAAATGTTCCATTTAAAGACTCAAGTGCCAAGCTTCCAAAGTTCACTTTAGGCTTAAGTTTTCCATGCTGGTATCTGCATTAGGCTGATTTCAGTTTTCAGCAAAGCTAAAGAAACGATATTTTTATTCAACAAAATTTAGGTGGAATGTATTATCAAACTCATTTAAAAAAAACCCTACAATTACTTTACGAGAGGCTCTGTCCTTTCATTTTATATGAGAGGACTGAGTGGAATTTGAAGTAGAAATTCCTCAATATAGCCTGTGTTCTAGAGACTTTAACACACAAAAGGGCACGACATTGTGTGACAGGACATTAGGGTTGCTATCACCTTCTGCCTTTTTTCATATTATAATGACTCCTTGAATCTTCCTACTGTGATCTGGCAAATAAAAAAAAAAGCACAAACAGAAAACCCCATGAATGTATCTTCTTTATTTCTTTCACAAGCTTTTCTAATTCTTCTGGGAAGTGTCTCATGCTCTGCAACACTACAGAAAACATTAACATGTCCACTATACCAGCATTGCTCATGGTCCCACTTTCCACTGAAGCTGAGGATTTTTGTCTGACACAACACAGCATCAGAAGGCAATGAAAGCAAAGAAAACCGTCCTGCAGAAAGGAACATGCTCGCAGAGGCAAAACAGGACTGTGGTCCCTAGCTCCTGACCAGTGGGACATCCACTCCCTCTGCTGGGCATCCAAAAAAATCTCATCCAGGGCAACGGCCTGCACTCCTAAGAGCTTGACAGTCAGATTTTTAAAATGGTCTTTAGCAACAGCAGAAATAGGTCAGTAATGAAGGCCTTTGAACATACAGCCTGTGGTAAAATGCAGAATCAGACAAGAAGAGCACATGAGGCCTGCAGTTTATAATTACATCCCTGACAGCTCTTGCCATCACTCATTTAACCAACTAACTGTTCCAAACATTCAAAACCACATCCATCCACCCTATCCATCCTCTGTTGATTTTACATATGTGGCAAAGGGGGAGGGTGGGCTTTTTGTTTGGTTTTGTTTTAGTTCAAGATCCCCCCCTTTGCTCACATCCTCCACATCATGCAGACTGTAACAGAGCATGGAGCCTGGGTTTGCACAAACCTGACCCTTTAAAAGGGTATCATGCTGTTACTGGCTGCCATGCCTTAACACACAGAAACCCCCAGTTTCAGGGCTGCAAATGGCAGTGCCATCCTGGGGCTTCTACACCAGCAGAACTCACACTGTTCTGAGGATATCAGCATTCACTGAGTCAAATCTGTTCTCATCTCCCCAAGAGGCACTTGCAAAATTATAAATGCACACAAGAGCATATTTTATTTTCCCTCCAGTATGGGAATGAGCTTTCCCCATACAGGTATTTTTAATACTCTCCTTTACTAGACTGTCATCTTATTTCTGAAACTCAACACCCTTCACTCAACCTAATGACATTTGTATTGCTGACAGACAATGACTGAGGTTGCTTTACAAATAACCCAATCTAGGCTGAACTACAGAAGATCTATAGACATACAGCAAACTGCTTCTCTTTAGGATACTTGAACAGCTTTTCCTGAACAATGGTATCTAATATTGGAGTAATTAATAGCTGTTTTCATGTATTTTGTTACTTTTGTACAGGTATCACTGTATACCAAGCTAATGAATCAGAGCTGTAGAGATAAAAGTCTGTGGGACTGAGCAGAGTAGAACAGTAACAATTATTTTGGTATTATATCACAGTTTCCCCTTTCCCTATCCAACAGAGAGATGACAGACTTTTTAGAAAAAAGATGCAAACCTAACTTTTCTCAAGTAAAATGCCTATTATTTCTAACTTTTAACATGAGAAATATAATATTTAGTGCTTCTAGGAAAATGAAGGGCTTCATATAATAACATCAACTGTTTCAAATTTCCCATTTTGTATACTGCTTCCACTTTCATCATTCACACCAATCTCTTTGTATTCAGCAGAATCCTCACACACAAGTATCAAAAAGCAGTGGGGGCATGGGGGGGAGAGATGATGTCCATTACTTAATGGAAGGACAAAACACTTGAACCTTTAGAGAAACTGTAGTCAAAAAAGGGTCAAACCTACAAGTGCCACAGAGAACCTTCATTATTATTTGGTCATTTTAATGTAACTTGGAAAGTACCTCAAGGAGAAAACATGCAATTTGAACTGGAAATTTTAAAAGCAGCAGGATGTAAAAGTGATGGTATAATAGCAAATCATTATACCTTTCTCAGACTGCATTTTTGGGATTGAAAATGTGTAGAGATTTTGTTAAATAAATCAGGTGGGTGAAATTTCAGAAGCAGTTGGCTTTACTGTGAGACAGCAATTTAGAACAATGGGCTGCCTGTCAGGTCTTGTTATTCAGTGAGGTTCAGAAAGTGCCTAGTGCCACCTATTATTCAGGCACTTTAGGCTGAGCTTTAACACCACGTATCAAAAACCAGAAGCCAGGCAGTTACAGGAGCTGCAGAGCACCATCTGCCCACGTGAATTCATATAATCCCTAGCAAGTTCAGAGTCAGTGTCAAGCATTCTTCCCCCTTATTGTCCCTACTTTGTCAGCTGAACCCTAACAATGTTCTGAGTTGCAATAGAGTTCGTACACTCCAGCCCAAAGATCCTTTACAATCCCCCTCACTGACACCAACATGTCCAACAACGACCTTGGTCACAGAAAGCCAAGGGGCCTTTTTGTGTACAGAGAAAGCAGGACAACTGACATCCTAATAAGAGCACAACAGCTGAACATCCCTCCTTATGCAGTGATTACGTGTCAAAATGTTAGTGTGAAAGAAGCAGAGAAGCAGAGCTGCAACACAGCCTTAACACCAAAGTATTGGAATGTATTTAAGGCAGTGGCTAGTAAGTCCTTTATTGATCAGCATCATTAGTGCCTTCCAATATTTTCCAGAAGATGTTTACAAAAGCCAATTAAGGGACTGGTCTTGATCTTTTTCTCAAGTTTCTAGCAGTTGAGGAAGGAAGCAGAGGGAATCTCTCCTATTGAGCTCACCCCAGCCCGGGAACAACTCCCTTGTCTACACTTCCCATTCTTGCTGCGTAACACAGAAGATGAGGTACATGAACTTTTGTAGTGCAAACTGAGAGGGTGCATCAAAGCCCTTTTCTGCAGTTGCCCATTGGCAAATCCCATGCTTAAATTAGGCTGAGGACACATAGAGCACAAGGTTTGTGCTGAGCTACAACACCCTCTCAGTTCTAACTACACACAGAACCTGTGGTTTTATTCCAAGGAGTTTGTAAAGCATCCCCTGGATGCACCTGTCACACATGCCAGTCATGCACCTCCTGTGCAGAGCAAGCTGGCAGAAGATGGAACTAATTCAAACATGATTCTGGATGGGATATATAGGTATGAATGCACAAACAGAAGGGCATGCACATACATGAAACAGAAAGAGGAACAGTTTAAATTTTAGAAAAGCTTTCAGCATGAGTGACACAAACAGGGAAACCTAACTTTATCTGCTTTGTTGATAGATATTTATTTTTATTTTTTTTATCTAAGAGATTTGTGAGGTAATACTGAAACATATCTACAAAAACATGCTAGCTTAATTAAACGTAATTAAAATTAATGCATCATACTAGTCTAATATATTTTGGACTAGTGTTAAACACAATCCTTAGCCATCAATACTTACAGCAGATATTCAGACTTGACAAAGTAAAAGTAGCCAGGTATATTATATATATTAGCATTTCCAGTCAGAAATTCAGACCTTTAGTACACCTTATCAGATTCAAAGTCTGATAGGAAGATGCAGACATTTGTCACAGCAATTTCTCACACCTCTCTTCACTAAGCAATGCCACATTCAAAAAGAAACCAAACACCCAAAACTTCATTAATGCAAATTGCATAAGTATTGCAGTGTTTCTACACATAATTATTTTTGCCAACCTTGTTGGCAACTTCATGTATCCAAAATGCAATCACAGAAAGTGCAATTCTATGCAGTAAAGAGGATACTGGGAATAGTAAAAAAATATGTTATTTATATTATTGCATAAACCAAAACCCCCACAATCTATACATAAAGTAAATATTTCATTACACAAATGATATCTATGCAAGATGGAATTAACACTTTTAGTATTTACATGTTCTGTTCTACATTTAATCAAAACTTAGCAACTTAAAGCACTCTTCCCCAGTCTAGAAATCCTTCTTTCCATCTGCTTACATACAACTGTTGCTACTCACGAAGTATAAGCATTCCAGGAAAACCTTAAGCCTTCAAAAATTAGCATATCCCAAACAAGAAAAAAAAAAAGGCTTACATATAATTAGGAAAAGCAAAATGAACATTTTTAATTACTTGATTCACCACTGGTATAATGGTATTTACCATGGCATTACTTTACATGTAGGGATTCTATTTGAAGTGACAAAGAGCATCTTAGCAAAATCAATTTCTGAATGTTAAAGAACAACCATTAGCACCTAACATGAATAGAATTTTCTTACCTGAAGTCCAGCATTGTCTGCCTGTCCTCCTTTAACCAGCTGGGAGATGAAGAGGCCACAGCTGAATTCCACTCCACCTCTTACACTTAATCCGAGCCCCTCAGGATTCAATCGATCCAATCTCACCTCTTTCAGCTTTCTGCAAAAATGGAACACACCTGAATGTTCAGCTGCATAACACCTTGTCTCAATTATGTTTCATATGAAAGTCAGACATTATTTTTCACTTATATAATTTAGGCATAAAAGGCAAGCTCACTAAAGTTTGGATGGATGTGTGTTAGCTAAAACCATCAAGTTTATTCATATGAAAAGACATTTGCAATCACTGAAACTGCTTTTAGAGGGTTAGAGCAATGAGATTTTTTTTATTATTAAATTCAAGAAAAACGAGAAAATATTGGTTTGGCTCCTTTACCCTGCTTTTACTAGATTAAACCACTTGGCTAACAATTTAACTACAGTACGCTTGGGTGTACTTCTAGCAAATATAGCAAAAGTAAAATAACTATGCGCAACTCTACACAGACAAACAATATTTTACTCGGAGTTTACCTCAGTAAACTCAGTATTTCTTGTTTTTTATTTCAGTTAGCTGCATTGTTTTGTTGTTGTTCTGCATTGTCTCACCGTGATCGTTTGGGTGTAAGCTGATCGTATTCCACCTGGTGTTTTAATGGGATGAGTGGGCGGATGGCATCGAACAGAGGCAACCTGCTTGGTTCATTAATCACCAGTTTTAGGTCCCCTACCAACACTGGGAGATTCATAGACCTGCAAAAAACACAGAGACAAAACAAACACAGGTAAACAACACACCAACAAAAAGTTTCATTTTATAACTTGCTGTGCACATGGCTTCAATATTTGCATGTCCTTTCAAGCTACCAAAAGAGATATTTATGCAGATACCGGTTTGATGAAAGCAAACTAGCCCCTGAGAAAGCAAACCTTCTGTAAATAAAGAACATTTGCTTCAAAACATGTCAAATCTTCTATACATTCACTTGATATTTTAAGGTCATGCACATCACGTTTATAGATGACATCTCCAATTTCATTCTCAGAGTACCTACAAGATTCATGGAACCATTTGAAAATAACTTTCCAGATTAGACCCACCTGCCTAATGGATTTTTGTTTCCTTATTAGTTAGGGATCCTTGTAAGTAAATATAGGCTACCAGCTCTTTCCTTTCCTCAACTTAGAGTACTGACAAATTGTTTCAATCCAGGACAAAAAAAATCCCAATATTCAGCAGCTAGAGCAAAGACTTTGTTTAAGTTCCAGTTTTTGTTCAAAATCAAATTTGAAGTGTAATTAAGTAATCCACAAAACCTACAGAAGTCAAACTGTTGTAAACATTTCTTTCATGAGAGCTAAGCAAAGTGTCTCCTTGAAATTATCAGCACTGAGATGGCTATAATCTACAAAATATACTTTGTTGTACAGATGCAGGAGTGGAGGAACAGCTAAGGTTCAGTGGAGGAATATAAGATATTCAGTTAAACATTTTCTGTATTATTTACTGTTCTCTTTTTTAAATTTACATTTCCTGGGACGCAATATTTCTGAGGCATGGGCATTGAAAATACAGATCAGGAATACCTATAGGATTAGAGGTCAAATACTTCTGGAAGTACTATTCACAGTGAAGCAGAAATTAAGTGCTAACTCTAACAGCAAACAGACATATTTTTGCCCTGGGATATTTCATAATGTATTCCCAGGAAGAGATACATCATTATATGTTCACAGAGCTATTGAAAATTTTGCCCAAGACATTGCAGTTGTGGAAATTGAAGAAAAGTTGTCATATGCATTGTTAATTTTGTAACTGCAAGAAGATTTTAAATAATTCAGATCTGCTGAACCAACTGGCTTTCCAAACAAAGTCTTTATGAATGGAAAAGCAATTAGACAGACCTGAGTGAAACTGAATCAGATATGCAGCTGAATACTCCCATAACTACAAACATCAGATGGAAACATATACACTTCACTCAGCTGAGAAGCTTTTAATTACAATATGAATGGAAACAATGTCTAAAAGAGCCACTTGCCTGTGATCAATGGAAAATATATTCTCATCTTCTCTGAAAAACAATGGCTCATGGGCTGATGTAATTTGCAATGAAACAAGTCTGAGGCAAATGTGGTTTAAACCAGTTCAGCAAAAGGGCTGGTAATAGGCCTATCACCTTTCCAATTTTTTACCATTGTGTTCTAATAAGCCAGAGTCATTAAACATGCCAAACAAATTCTAAGAGTTTATTTTTCCAGCTTTGTGAAGGACAGTTGCAAAGTTTTTATCTGAAAAGTTAGCAAAAAATCTTTAAAAAGTGATGCCAGCAAAAACTTTGTATCAAACAAATAAGCACTATTTTGAAATATTAATGAACATTATTAATGCTCTCTTCCTGTTTACTAAGAACAGTTTTATCATGCAGGAGCCTCCCCACACACACCCCCAGATATGAATCCACCAAACTCTTTTAAAAAACTGCCAAGTCATGAAACCAAAGCAGCTTTATAAGTGATTACAGACATGCTCCTTCTCTGCCTGCAGGTTATGCTGCAAAACCACAAGATCTCATTAAACACGATAAAAACCTCTTACTTGAATTACTTTTCTAGTAGCACATAGAAAGACCATTTAAATAATCATGAATATTAATTCTTCAAATTGAGAAAGATTAGTAAAATTCCACACCAACATATATAAAGCTAGATCTTACTGGTGGTACATCCGCAGCACATCATAAAGGTAATCCTTCTCCGCTTCATTGTCAATTAATAGATTGACCTGAAAACCCAAAGACACTATCATTAATCTCTGACTTAATAGCCCCAAAAACTGAACACGAGAGACTTTCACAGATTCTTAAGCTGTAGAGCAAAAGTTCCATTAAGGAAAAAGAATTTTTTAAAGGTAAACATGTTTTGGCAACAGAGCATTACCTCACAGCATCATGCTTACAATGAGACTTTCTAAAATTAGTATGACAACAATTAGACAAGGTGGTGAATCCTGATATACTCTGTATGCTACATTTCCCCTCAGCAGTAGTATCATTACAGTAATATCATATTTGTCTTACCTGATAATCACTGTACTGTTGAATAAATGTCTTCAGAAACCTTTTTGGCCACTCATTAATGTAGCACATGCTGTCACAGATAAAACCACCGCGCTGAGATACAATCTCTGTGCTGTCGTCCAAACCACCGATTTCAGGAGCTCACTTATAGCATTATGCAAACTGCTACACCTCTGCTCCTCTTTGCTCCAGCTCTTAACTGATAGAACTTGCTAGTTATTCTTTCCTCCCCCACTAATAGTACCTTTACTTAAACCAGTGTCATATTACTATGTCTGCTCTTGGATAATTACAGTAAATTAAAGCAAAAGAAAACCAAACCTGAATTCTTACATGAGGAGTTCAATTTGTATTCAATGATAGTAAGACCCCCACTAATCTTACTTGTAGTGAGAGGTCACATCACATCAGTTTTACATCTGGACAAGCCTGATGTTTAGGAACACAATTTACATCTGACCTAAAGGGTAATATTACTGTGACGTGAAGACTGAGAAGCAATTTGCATACTTAAAGAAAGGCCCTTTCTTTCCAGGTTTGCAATGGTTTGTATTATGTTCTAAACTAAATACATGCTTCATATTCCTTTTGTCCTACTTGGCTGTCTAAAGCCAGCAAGTCTTCACATACCAGTGGTTTTCTATTACTTGTACCTCCTGGCTCTCTAAAGCCAGCAAGACCTCACATTCAGGTGGTTTTCTGTTACTTGCCTCCTCTGGAAAAAGACACTTTCAAAACCTAAAGGCCAGAAAGCTACATGCAGGTCAAGATTGCTTTACAGTTATACCAGTGAATACCATTTATTCACCACGAATTTCAAAACACATAGGATAAAGTCTGTCTTAAAAGGAAATAAAATATTTGCCATCAAAACTTCAGCAATACTGTGCACAGACTCAAGGCAAGGCTAATTGTAAAGGTAAAACTCAAGGTAAAACTAATTCCAGCATCCATTTCTCACTTCCCTAACAGGTAAAATACAGAGCTCAATCCCCAATGCCAGCTAAGATACTGTATGAGCTGTCTCTCACAAAGAACATTAAATGTTTAAGTGCATCGACCCTACACAGCAAAGGGCCAAACCATCATCATCTCTTTTTCCTGACAGAGAAAGCAAAGATTAACAATATTCAATTTTTCTCTTAATATGCTTACTGTTGGATACATCCTCATTTCCTCTCAGAAAATGGAGGGCTACGTCTAAATTCTGCTATTTCTTCTGACAAAATACTCAATTTTTCTGTTTGACTCCTGCACTTCTCACCCTACACCAGCAACTTCTTCCTCCTCTGACCAAACCCAACACCCAGGTGATTTCTAATATATTCAGAATGCTACAGCTGGGTTAATCTTCCTGGGCCACTCCTACTAATGGGTCATTCTCCTCCTGCTGCCTTCTCTTCCATCAATTATCACTGCATCATAGCCACCTGCATCTCATGCCATTTTCCTATTTCTTTAACTACCTGAGGTTAAATCTCACAGAAAACACATGCTTTACCTGGACTTATCATCAGCTTTAAAAACTGACTCTAATTTCATAAATCCTAAAATATCATCCCCCCACTATTAAAAAAAAATAAACTAGCAGTGACATGGTATAACTTGGATCACAGAAGTATTTTAGTATCTATTTCTCAAGAAAATGACTGTAGAGTCATGGGATAGGTGATTTCACACCTGTTAAATCAAGGATATTTTAGAAAAACCATCTGGACACGGCACTGGGCAATTGGCTCTTGATGGCCCTGAGCATGGAGGGGTTGGGGCAGACAACCTCCAGGTGTCTCTTCTACCCTCAACCCTTCAGTGATTATTTAAAGAGTCTTGTATTAGTTGTATCATTGATAATCCTAGAATACAGAGTTGTTTATGCTCCATTTCTCACTACATACACTGCACTGTTTTTCATAGAAATTTGTTGTCATCTCATCGCAAGGGTTCCATACTGTTGTCTCCTTATCACAAAGGTTCCATACCTTCTGGGTGTTTCTCTGGGCAGCTCCTGAGAGCACTGACTCTTTCTCCTTCACAAAGCAGCCAACAGACTCCAATTCCCCTCTCACCCAGCCACCCACTCTCTTATAGCACTCTTCTTCTCACTGGTTACAGCTGTGGCCTGGTAAAGTCAGGCCTGCTCCTAATCATTGATAATTGGCCCAGCTGCAACTCCTTAGGGGTAGGATTACTTTTTACATGATCTTTATTTTCTTATATTCTGTCTCCCTACAGAAATTAATAAAAAATCATCACCCAATCTACACACATAAAAAAATGAAGTCTGTCAAGAAGTCTACCTAAGTTAATTCAGTGGAATAGAAGCTGTGGGGAGGAAAAAGCACATTTTTGGTGTGGAAAAAGTTCAGATGACGATAATGCAATATGTTAGCACTATTCCAATCTGCCAGATACCAAAGAAGAGTATGAAGTCCTGTTTAAGCTAGACAGATTTTGAAAAACTATTGAAGGAAAGGGAAAAACTGGTTTGGATATATAGCATATTTTACATTGTTGCTTGGTTGATAGGGAAACATTAAAATTGCTGAGGAAAAAGGAAACTCAGAAAAAAAGTTAAGTAAGACAACTGCCATTAACTGAGGAAATTGAGATCTTGTAGTGAGCATCTTCACTGGTATGTCACAGAAAAAGTAAGCATCCAAGACTGTAGGTGCTGCAGAGGTCACTAGAAGCAGGATGATGCAAAATAAGAAAAAGAAAATACCTATTTCAATGTCTTCTAAGTCAGATAAAGCTGTCACTGATACCTGCATCCCAGCTGTTTGCAGCAACACTGACAATACATCTCTCGTTATCGGGGTGGGGCTTGAATGATTTATGAATTATAGCAGCAATGAAAGGGAGAAGGTTTAAAGTTCAAGACAGTAACCACCCACCTAGAAACAAGAGTCTTTACTGAAATGTTGCACAACCCATTGTTGAGTTATACAGTAATAGGGAGCAAAGCAGAAACAATGTGCTAGATGGCTGCAGTCATCACGATGGAGTACCCAGGTCCTTAATGTTCTTGAACTCCAATTTGACATGCAGAAGTGTTTCTGCAGTCCCTCTAATTCATCCTAATAATCCTTTGGTTAATGTGTTTATTATTATTATTATCAGGTGGCAGATACTTCTATAAAACATTACATTACTTTGTGGAAATCGCACGTCCTAGCTGATAAAAACAAAACAAAACCCCCCCCAAAACCCATAAAAAAACAAATCAACCACAACTTTCTTCACAAAACAAAACAACCCTCACAAAAATACTGCAGAAAACCTTAATCAGAGAGAGTCCTAAACGGCTTGGCAAAAACATCTTTTACACATGTAAACTATTTTCCTCCTCCTTTCCTTAATTAGAGCTTTTTAGAGCGGTCTTCGCTCATACAATTTTGCGCTCTGCCGAGCACTTATTTAACCGGATAAATGACAAAACGACAAAATGCCAGGCAGCCCGAGCCGCTCCATGTATCAAATACGTTCGCACATGAGCGCACAACCGCGCCGGGGAATGTTAAGGTGGAACCGGAGCGGGCCGAGCCCCGCCGGGTGCGCGCAGGGCTGAGCGGGCACTGCCAGCGCCTGGACTCCAGCACCGGCTCCAACGGGGCATTAAGCACAAACCAAACTGTTCTAAGCCCTGAAAAAGCTCATGCACTGGGGAACGATCTCCCTTCTCTCCCTCTCTTTCCAAGGCCTTCAGCACCCATCCCGTCCCAGGAGGCTGCCACCCGCGCCGGTGGCAGGGCAGTGCAAAGTCCCTGAGCTTCTCCCTGCCTGCCCCGCGGCTCACCGGGGCACAGCCGTTCCCGGCCGGGGGGGCCGCGCCGCCCGCCCGCAGCCTCCGCTCCGGCCGGCCCCGCCGCCTCACCTTGTGCCGGAACTCTCGGGCGACGCGGCGCTCCATGGCGCGGGCTGCGGCTGCGGGAGCGGTGCGGGCAATGCGCGGAGCGGTGCGGGCAATGCGCGGGTGCGGTGCGGGCAATGCGCGGGAGCGGTGCGGGCAATGCGCGGGGCGGCTGCGCGGGCGAGGCCGCGCCCCGGGGCGGTGAGAGGCGCGCCCGCCGCCGCCGCCTCCGGCATGCCCGAGATCGCCGGGCACGAGCAGCCGGGCACCGCTACCCGCGCTGAGCTTGAGGCCGGAACGGCCCAGAAAGTAAAAGGAAAATAAACATCCCTCCATACACGGCCCCTGCCCCGCGGTGTGCTGTCCGGGCTTCTCCCTGGGCTGGTTTGTACAACTAGCTCTTCTCCTCAAACGGCACTCAGCTCCCATACCAATTTCTCGCCTGTATTTGTGGGTATGCATGCATGTCAGTAATACTAACAGTCAAGGAAAGCACGAATATGTGAACTTTAAAGCATATTAACACCCAGGTTAAAAACAAACCAACCAATCAAAAAACAATCTAGGCCCAAACAAACAGGAAAAAAAATTGCTTCAATAAATTGTTGTGTGGCAAATAATCTCAACTTCTGTGCTTTTAGGTAAGCAAAGTGAAGCTAATTCATCATTGTCTAGATCAGACTTCCCCCAGCCTTTCCCACAATGTTGTTGCATACAAATACAGCCTCTCACATGGCTGCTGTGAGTAACTGCAGAAAAGTCAAGCTTGGTGCACCTGAAGAGGAACCTATTTCAGACTAATCTCTTTCATACTTTTTTATCTTGCTGGTTCTTCTCCCACTTTCCCTACTGTGGTTCAACATCACAGATTTCCTCAATCAGGAGGGTAGTGAGTGGAGAACACCTGCTCACCCACGTCTCTTGGTCTCCATGCAGAATCACCTTTAACCACGTAACTCCAGAGAGAGCAGGGTTTACTTAAGGACAGGTAACTTACCTCTCCTCCTTCCAACAGAGTGGAAACTTGTATGAATGCATATAAAAGTGTGATTAAAAAGAAATCCATACTGCCATAAACCCCCCTGTATTCTATTTTATCATTTCTGAGTGATAACTTCTGTAAGCTACACTGGCTCCTTAGAAACTGCTCTAAGCACTTGCAGATGGTTTTGCTGTGTTGGAACATTTAAGCCATATGTACACTACCCATTTATCAAATCAGGTGTCAGGAATATGAGAGGAGTGCATATTAAGCCTGTATACAAATAAATACAGTTGTTTTCAGAAAGCTGTTTTCTCTTAAAATTGCAACTATTAATACATAAATCACTTTTACCTAAGTTCCAGTACCACACAATACCAAAAAGCTAGTCTCTCCACACAGATATAGAATTAAACACAGAGATACAGAATTTCTGCCATGGACATGCAAAACAAAACTATCTTGTATTTGAAAAGAGAGAGGAGACACAAAAAATTTAAAGCAGACATAAGAACCCATGCATGTCGAGCCTTTAAATTTACATATAGTCTAGAACAATCATTGATTATCTATCAATCATTTCTAGAAGGCTTTACAGGAATAGATCTTATCCAAGCTCAAAGCTATGTACACTTGAAAGAAATTAACTGGTTTTTATAATACAGATAAACTTCCCAGGAGTCAGAAACTCCTCCTCCACGTAGTAAAGAATTGTGAAATTGACTTCACTTGGTGATGTGAAAACTGCTCTGAATCATCGTGTACAGGACACAGTGCAGGAAGGATGACAAACTTGGTGGGCTGTTATTCTGCTGTTACATAAATTCATGTGCTCTATTGTATGCAAATACAAAGCAAACAAATCCACAAAGCTAACTCGTGCTCCAAAACTGGAAGTTGGATAACCAGTAAATTTATTAAATGGTTCTGAAGTGTTCATTGCTTCAAATGCACCATGTATTAAAAGATAGTACAATTATGACTGTTTAGTATTTTTAGATAATGAAATCTTTCCTAGCAAGAAATCAAATTGCATCTAAATTGGTTCTAAATTATCCTCAATTCTTGTTTTGCTACTTGTGGCACAAAGAGAAAATGAACAAAGTGAGCAGCTCATTTAGAAACAAAGAAATACATTAAAGTGTGTGTTGTGTAACCTGATCCCTGTTGCTTTCATCTACTTTCTCTACCTCCATTAACATAACTTGTATCAGTGAAAGTGCACCAAAGCCAAGCACATGCTGCACTCAGAGCAGATACAGGCTGAGGCTAGCGCATAGTTCTAAAAATTTGTTTGGGGTTATTTGGAAAAGGCTGTTGTCAAAGTTAAAGGATATCTTTTATTCCTCATGTTTTTTTCTCTCAAGCATTCTCCCTCCAACACTTACAGGAGAGAACAGAATTCTCAGTGAAAACATCACTAGTTTTCCATCATTTCATTAGAAATGAAACACAAGAAACACAATCCACAGGGACAAATTACAAAGGCAGAAAAGAGATCTTTTTAATGACTTACTGTTAACAGACTTCCCAAAGCAGTCAGAAAAGGCCCCTTTTTATCTGAGACAGTTTCTCACCTGGTATGGGCAGCTTCTAAAGCTTCTGTCACAGGATATGCAAACCTGAAGAATGATGGGGAGAGAGACAGCAGCAGATGGGAAAGGGAAAATAACAGGAAAGGTAACAGTGATAGGAGGAGAGAAAAGGGAAAAGACATAATGAAAGGAAGCAAATTTAATCATAAAGGGTGAAAAAAAGAAAGAAAAAAGAGGAGGAATAAACATGGAAAAGGCTCCAAAGAGAGCTCCAGAGTGTGAATTTATAGTAAAAATAAAAAAGTTATCAGAAGCTATGGAAACCCTCCGTACATTAGCTGCCTGCTGCATTCAGTGTACGTCTCACTTATGTCTGTCGTTATTCAAGCCCTAACACCTCTTTCAGAGGGACCACTGCTCTCTGCTGAGCACGGACAAGATTTGCCGCTCCCGGCCGGAGCTGAGCGCTCGGTGCGTGCCCATCCATCCGCAGGAGCTGCGGGAGCAGCCCCAGCTCCGCTGGCCCCGGAGTAGCCGCTTAGAGCGGCGGTCCCGGCTGCTGCTGCCGAGACAGCGGCACACGAACCTCCCAAAACCGCGGAGGGCGGACAAATGGAAGGGAATGCACGGAGGCGCGAGGTCAGCGCCGGGCACGGCCAGGGCGGGAGCGGCGATGGCAGAGCCAGACCTGCTGCGGGGCCAGGGGCGGTGTCCGGGGCGGTGTCCGGGGTGGGTGCCGGGGCAGGGCCAGGCCGGGGGCGGATAAACCCCCCGGCAGCCCCGCCCGCCCGGGCGGGATGAGCTCGGGGCGCAGGTAGCGGCCGGAGCTCCGCGGGAAGTCGCTGCTGCCCGCATGGAGACCCGGCTCCTCCTCTGGGCGCTGCTGGGCGTCTGGCTGTCCTCAGGTGAGTGTCCCGCCGGCCGGGGCATGGCATGGCATGGCTGCGGGAGGGTGGGCAGGGCAGTCCGGGCCATCGCTAACCTGCCGCCCTTGCCTTCCAGCCCTGTCTCCGTGGGGCGCCCAGGCGCAGCTCCCGCCCGACGGGGACCTGCCGCTCCCCAGGTAAGAGCCGGCCGGGGCACAGCGGGGCCTTTCCGGGCTGGGCGGGTGCCTGCGCTGCCCGGACCGAGCCGACGCTGCTCTTTTCTCCCCCCTCAGCCGAGGCAGCGCCGCGGGAGCCCGGAGCGGGGGCGGCCTCGCCGCGGCGGTGCAGGTGAGGAGCGGCGGGCGGGCACCAGGGACCGGGCACCACGGCCCCTCACTGCGGACACCGGGCCGCTGGGATGGGCAGCTTCCCACCCGGCAGGCATCCGGGTGGGAAGAGAGCATCCACCACACTGCATCCCGGGCTCTGGGGGCTGATAAGTTCAGGTGGTGTCAGGCTCACAGCGCTGCTGCCCGGGGAGATCCCTCTGAGGGGGCTGACGGTGTGGGACAGAGGGCAGCGTGTTCTGGTTGTCATCAGGATAACGTGCTCCTCATTAATATACCTGTACATTGCTGTGATACCATCTGTATTTGGGGGGATGTTCTGCCCTTAGTGTTCAGGACTTGCTCTAGAATGTGTATTTTATCTCAGCCAGGAGGATTGTCAATCCTGAACGAAAGTTTAGTGTTAGAACAGAGAGAAAAGATGATGTGATTGTGTCTAAAGCTTTAGCTTGTTCAAGAAGTTATGTGTTGTACAGAGTGTCCTTGCTCGAGGAAAAGCTGAGGTCAACAATTGCTTTGTGGGAGCCTTTTTGCCTCTCGGTAGAGGTAAACGAGCTGGCAGTATCGGGTCACTGCAGCTCAGCGCTCAGGTTTTTGGATGTGGTTTGTCTTGGCAACTCGGCTGTGTCGCTCATGGCACATTGCTGAAATGTAATTAGGGTGTGTGGTTCCCGCTCCCTTGTTCGAGGGTGGGAAAAGGAAGGATTGCTTTGTAGTCCTTGTTCCTGGCTCCTCAGAGGGAGTCACCTTTCCCTCTGCTTTCTCCCTGCTCTTTCTGGGAAAAGCTCAGCAAAGAAAAAATGTCACATAACTGCGAACAGGTAGCCAAATCAACCACCAATAGTAGTGAATGCTCCTGGATTTAGGTTCTCCCACCAAGCATACAAGATAGAGTAATAAACTTTTTGTTTCTTTTTGGGCTAGCCTACTGAGCAGAAATCTTCAGTAAGGAGTATATTTAGGAGGAAGGAAGAAGAGAAAATATTGTAGTCTTGAGTAGAGTATACTTTTAGCTTTACAATAGTCTTTTTTGAGAACTTTATAACAAGCCAATACGAATCAATGATCTTACTAAAAATGGTACATTTACTGACAGACTGGAGAGACTTTTAGGTGTTTTGTTTATAGCTGCTGATTTCTTTGTTCTTTCTGAAAGGAGCCTGGAATGGCAGTTCATAACACTTCACCTACAGCAATGTCCTTGTCCTGGAACAGGAGAATTCACAGTATGAGATGTGGACCACCCAGTAAGTTATTTGTTTCTACATGAAGGGACTTCTCTTGTCCCTTACTTTCTGCATTGTTTAATCATTCTTAAGAAGAAAAAGAA